AGCCATAACAGATGAGATTCTTGGAAATTCAATAACCCAAATGTAGAATGAGCCTATTTTTTGAGTCTGTATGTTATTTATGTCGGTTTAGTCAATATATTTTTCACAATATTGACTGCACAATATTCCAAATGGCATATGTATATAATTTATCATTTTTCATGCACGTCATTAAACCTTCCAAAGCAAAGTCTAAAAATTACTTAATCAAGGCAGGCTTATCTGTCATTTCTTACCAGAAATGAATTGTATTTATCAGCCTCATTCTTGATGAGGTTGATCGTGATGTGGTTTGATAATAACAATTTAACATGAACTATATGGTGATGGAAATAGATATACTCTTAAGTGCTTTTGTTTCAATAGTGCCATCATTATTGATATAAAGGTATCCCACAATATCACAGATATTTGATTTTTTCCAATCTTAATTTGCTCATTTAAAATGGGGTTAGTTTAATCATCCATTCTTCACTGATACGTATTGAAAGCATGAACTTTATCAGTGGGGAATGCATTAAAATGCAAAGTGAATAACAGAGGACATCATTGCTTTGTAGATTTACCATCTTTACTTTACTAGACTGCCTTATGTAATGTACTTTTAGATACACATTATAATCTCAAGAACAATGAACAGCTCAAATCTTATGAATTAAAAATCCATGTTTTCTGTACTTTCCAAAGATTTAAGCAAAACACTTCAGAAAACAATGAGAGCTGTGGATTTATTTCAGTAATCCCAAAGGATTCTGGGTATAATGCGTGTTGTAGGAATCAAGCCACTGATAGACTCTGGAATTGCATCACATATTGAAGGAACAGTAGAACCCTTATAAAATGAAATTGCAGGAATAACACTCACTGGAAAATAGCTGAGACCCAGAGATCGCATACAGCCAGGCCAGACATTCCAAGTTACTTAATGACATAAGTGGAACTGTTAAAGATGTATGTGCCCATAACACGATGTTCATCAGACCTAGCATGGTGCCGAAGATAGGTGATTATGATCAGTTTGGATGCTTTATCCATTGTAATGCTAAACTCTGTTCCCTGTGGCTTCATGCAAAACAGTGTCATGAGGTTTTCAAGATAAACCTATCACTTTTTTGAGAGTCATTCTGAAAAGGACCACAGCAAAATTCAATGTCCCTACTTGGAAACATTTGTGGTGAGCTCTGCAGCTTTTAAAACAAAGAGCAGAAACCATCTTCTGTGAATGGAAACCTTGAAAATTACCCTCTATTCTTCGTGGTCTTCAAAAGTTTTTGTTTTAATTTAAGACACAGAAACCGTATAATTTATTCAGGCTGAGCCTTATGATTATTGACTTTTTTTTTCCACGATCTTTATTTTTTAACACTGTAAATAAGACGGTTCTTTGGTTTAGTGAAGTGATAGGGATTGAGTTACCTATGAAAGGGTAGAGATCCAAAGTTTGATTTCAGGACAAATGTTAGTACAGTACTTGCAAAAAAAAAAAACTGTTTATTTCATGATTTTTTTAATGTCCTTACAAAATGGCAGTGCTGTTAAAAAAAGACAAGTTTTCTGACCACATGCCAGCTATTTAACATTTTTTCACCAGCCTTGGCAAGGTGAGACACAAATTACTGCAGTGGCTGGAATGCGCTTTCTCAAAAGTGGACTTATGCAGACCCCTTCATTTCAGTTTGGAAATTCCAGTAAAAAATTAGGTTAGCCCACAAAGTGACATCTGGATTAGAGCCAGGCATGAATCCTAAACAGAAGATTTTTCGGATACTTTCTTAATTTTAAATGACACCCATCGTAATTTAGATTCCTCATCACGGGATACTCTTTCTGACAGTTTGTTTTCCCTCTTTAAATGGTACCGCATGTGGAATAAAGCTCCTTTTTCTTATCCTTTGGCAACCATGAATGTTAACACCAGTGTTTTGGAATGTACTGGAAAGTTTTACATACTATAATTAATTACTTAGTTTAAACTGCATTTTCCCTATGCTGGTAAAAGAAATGGCTTCTGTAGGAGTCTGTGACCTGGGACACTCGGCATGAAATATGAAGTAGTGCCAGTCACAAAGTTATTTTACAACCCATCTGACAAATTTTAGAGCATGAAATAGCCTAGCATTTAGTTGTTCTGGAAATTGTATTTAAAATTGTACTGTATAAGTCATTATATAAAAAAATGACAGTTTAGCAGTTAGGTAAGTGCTTCACAATTCTAGAGTCCTAAATTTGATCTTAGGTGGGGTGTTCCTTCATTGTGAGTTTTATATGTTCTCCCCTTGTTTAACTTAAAGGTGTGAGTTTTCTTCAGGTGCTCTGGTTTCCTCCCAGTGACGTGCTGTGAAGCTGATTGGCTATAGCCTGAGACTGATTGGCTATAGCTATATTTATAGCCAGCAGCCATATCACCCTGCAACTCACAAATGGCAACCCACTGAAGCTCAGAAGGTGTGAACCAGGTCAATACCTGGCTCAAAAACTAAGGTTTCTGCTGGAAGTGGTGTTATTGGGTCCAGTAGGGGGCACTCACCCTAATGCCCCAGTATAGTGACGGGGACACTATACTGTAAAAAGGTGCTGTCCTTCGGATGAGACGTAAAACCAAGATCCTGACTCATCATTAAAAATGTCTGGTCAAAAGTGTCACAACGTGCACAAAAGTGAATAAGAAAATTAAAAAATAAAATATTCTAGCTACTTCTTCACATACATCTCTTCAAAAGATGCATTGTAAAGGTCCAGTCTCCAGGATATACTACAGTATGTAGTCAAAAGCACTGACATACTTTTAAATAATAAAGCAAGTAGTTACAAATAAAATGGTAAATTATATTCTGATTGACATTTTAATATTAAGCTTGAGTGAAAGTTAATAAAACATTGTTTACATCTCAAGTACAGGATAATAATTGTCAATAATAATTAATTGTGGCAAACATTGTCTCACAAAACATTCCAAAAAATACAAAATAAAATGATAACCAACTGAGGTTATGCATATTAACATACAGTATGTGAAAATATGCATTTCTTTGTTAAGGCACACCTTTATGTGTTACATTAGGCATGTTTAATCAAGGCAGTTCAATACTTACTGATGTGAGGATCACTGTTTAACATCCCTGCTTTTTCCTTATGACATGTTTGGATTGGATTTGCATAGCGCCATCCACAAGTAAGATGAACAAATACATGGCTGGTCGACAAAATAGAGATTGTTGTGACAGTTTATTTCTCTCAATAATAAAAAAATCACACTAATACAATTCTTTACAAACAAATACCTTGGTTGAAGAAGTATAAGGATCCATGCCAACATCTGCATTTTTTGCTTTGACAGATGCTTACATACCACGAATACTGCACATTTCTACGAAATTTAGCTTTTAAATTCCAAGTCTGAAACTTGTTTCAGCAACGAAAGCTTTCATTTGAGATGACAAAGTGTTTCAAAACTGGTACAGAGCAAGTTTTGGCAGAAGCTCAATTCTTTCTGTGCAGTTCGTAGTGGCTATGCAGATTTTGTGTGAAATTCCATCCTAATGTTTGACTAACCTGTTTATAATTGAAAATCAATCCAATAAAATCTAACACAATTAATGGTTTAAAAGTACAATTTGAGCAATTTTTAAAAAGGCCCAAGTAATTTCTTGAAATCAATATTATATGCTGTTGAATATTACATAAAACACTAGGAATTAAGGGAGTTGGTGAAATGCTTTTTGTCAGTTTGCTACAGACCGCCATCTAGTGGCAACTATAAGTGAGTGTCTAAAGCCTGGGTTCAGAAGGTGCATTTGCCAAACAAATTCACGAAAACTGTACTCAGTTTTCAGAAGATAATCGAAATATGGTATCATGGCATAATGGAAAAAAAGGAAACTGTTTAAACCCTTTGTTTAAACATTTTGGGAAAACGAATTCTGTTAAAATGACAAATTTCCATTCAAACTAAGAGTAGGAATGTGAAAGTTTATTGAAGTAAAAAAAAAAACTTTTCAACAATTTAATCTCCAATCCTTTTATCAGAATTAACAGAAGGTTATGAAACAATCTTAGATAAGTTAATTATTCAGTATCCTACATGAAATGCACTTATGACTTCAGATAATTGTTATGTCAACTGTACTAAACAAAATCACCTTCCATACCATACATGGGAAAGAAATCAGGAAGATATTTGATTAAATATCCCTCAAGTTTTGGAAAAGGTTGATAAAAAAATATTTGCACTTCTTGCTCTCAATGAACATTTACATGACAAAAACACTTGATTTCTAAAATAATTCAGCATTTCTTGTCTTTTCAGATGTCTTTGACATATAGGGCCTTATTCAAACTACCTGGGCACTTCAGACCCCCTAGAAAGCAGAAAGGATTTAAGTGCCGAAGTTTTGAACAAGGTCCCCTTATGTTTTCAGATGGACGTTCATGGCGTAAGACTGAACAGACTTTCTTCAATAACTCAACCTACACAAACACTTTGACTTACTATAAGGGTGACACACAGCTTTTGCCATAAGTTATGACAAACATATAAGAAAGAGGCAAATATTTGACATTTAATTTGCAAAAAAAACATTTGCTCTTGCAGTTGTTTTCTTGCAGTGCTCCAGCCACGTTTCCTGTAGAGCACGGCATCCCAAACACATGACTGTTGCTTTCAGCAGTCTTATCCTGTGAAATTCATGGGATGATAATGGGTTAAATTAAAAATAAATATAATTAGGTGTTTTATCTTCACCTTTGCACCTTTAATTCCACATGGTTGTGAGTCTGGAAGGCAACTGTAGAAAATATAAATAGCACTGATGGACCTGCTACCACCCTCTAGTTACAGAGTTGGTTTATCAATATTCTTGTGACTGGCCATCCAGTCAAAGCTGTATTAGGGAAGGGGGGGGGGATTTTGTTCCTGGGGGGTGTTATTGTTTGTATATTTGTTTATTGATTGTTCTGATTGCAAAAAAAAAGGTCAATCACAAAAAACAAAACTGACACGGTTTTGCTGTGGATGCATACGTTTGGTTCATAGAAGAACCATGCCTCCTTTTTTAATAAATACAAACGGCAATATTGGAAGACAGGGGGGTGTAGCAGTCAGTGTGATATTGCCTCACAGCTGTGGCGGCTTGAGGCACCTTCTGTGTGGAGTCTGCATGTTTCAGTCCCATCCAGGATGCATCCTGCCTTGTGCCCTCCGTCTGCCGAGTTAAGACTCCAGCTCAGTGCGATGCTGGAACGGACGAAACGTTCTCCAACGATGAGCGGAAGACTTAAGCTACTACCACAAAACAGCTGTGTCCCCCTCAGACCGAATGATCCCAATCAACTATCCAAAGGTCCTGACCCTCCACGCTGGTCTCACGGAAGAGAGGAATTGATGAGGATGTGTGCTCGTCCCTACGGAGAAGGTGAAGTTTTGATATACGATACTGCATTGCTTTCACTCTGGGCGTGGGTGTTGGTTTTAGAAGAATCCGGAGCAATAACATGGAAAAACGATGGCGCTGGGCTGCAGCTGGCGATGACCGGACCGCAGAGAGGGTGATGTGGCACAGGGATAGGAGGCGGCGGCTGGGCTGACCCCAGCTGGACGTCAACCAAGACCTGCTGGATACGCAACCGTGCCGTTTTTTGCATTTGAGCGTCTTCCATCAGCCTGAGTTCTGAGGCTATGTGTTTGCCAAAGATGTCAAAGGCATCCTCCTGGGAGGCTAGCCTTCCCTTAGCAAAATTGTCCGAGATTGTCTGTATATACGAAGCGGCTCTGGCAAAGAGAGCTGCTTCATTAGCCTTTCGTTTCCGTTTGTTTGTCCCTCTCGCAGCGACGTGACCGCCTGCTGCGCGCTTCGTTAAGCGCGGCAGAGGGTTCCCTTCTCTGCTGTCCTCCTCCGCGCCCACGTCGTTCTCATCTTCGGTCAGTTCTCCTGCGCTTACGTCCTCGACGGTCTGACGGGCACTGTTCTCGGGAGTCTGCCAAATATATGGAAACAGGGCACCTGTTCAGGCTCAGCAGGCTCAAGGGCTTGTGCAGAATAGAAATCTCGGCTTTGGGAACATGTAAACAGGCAGTTCAAGTAGGGAGCTGTGTCGGCATGCCCAGGCTGCAAAGGAACAAGTAAAGGTTTATTGCACGCTGAAAAGAGAAGAAAGGAAACACAATGTTTCGGCTGTGGGGCCTTCTTCCACACCTGAAGAAGGCTCCACAGTCGAAACATTCTGTCTCTTTTCTTTTCAGCAAGGCATAAACCTTTACTTGTTCCAACGTAAACAGGGATGCTATCTGCATGGGTTTTCCCTCCCACAGTCCATAAACATACTGGTAGGTAACCTGACTTCTGGGAAAACTGGCCCTGGTGTGACTATGTGCGTGTCTGTGTTTGTGACTGTGACAGAGCAAGCAGAAGCTCACTTAAAAAGCCTCTTGCTTCTTGGAAGTATACCGGACACACCTGCTTGCCCGACTCATTTGCCGCCTTTGGAAAAAGGAATTCCACAGGCAGAAAAGGGATCAGCTGATCGGCCCTGTACATAACTGGATACTCCTCAGGAGCAGCAGCAGTCAGGTGTAGAGGGCAGAAGTGCTGCATCTAAGCTCATGCAATTCAGGGACTAAGAGCATGTTAGTGGCACCCACATTTCATAGTGCATTTATTAATCTCCTGTTCTTGAACATCAGCAGTGAGTCAGCAATCCTAACACCAGTTTGGGTTTGAGAAGTAAGAAAGATCTAACGAAGACGTGTAAGGGTCTTGTTATGGGTGGATGTAGTTAAGAAATATGGAGAATTTAGCAGGGTGTTTTTCTATAGTGTGTTCTATATTCTTAGATTAATTGGAAATTTTCCAGAATCTCTGTAGAGTAGTAGTCTATAGGGTTTATTGTTGGAAACTGGGCGCCTGTGGGTGAAGCATGCCAGTAGGTCTTGAAAGAAACTGGGAACTTGTATCTTCCAATGAAGGGAAGGCTGGCAGTAGAAGGGGGAGCCCAGCTGAGTGTGACAAGGGTCCCAGAATAGGGATGGGACAGATTCCTTCCAAAGGCAAGACTGGCTGTAGATTGGAGAGCATGGCTGAGTTTGCCGGGGTTCCAGGGAATTAAAGGGGAACAGCAATGCCATTTTTATATTTCGTGGGTTAGAAAGATTCAGCATTGATGACTGAATTTCAAACCACAATAAAAGTAAAATGTACACGCCAGCTTGTAAAACCCCCAACTTACACCACAAAATACGCCGACATTTCCAGGTGTGCATAGTGCCGCGATGTAGGATTCAGAACAATGCAACAAAACGTCCGGTGACCCGATGAGGGCCTATTACATGATAAACAAGTGGGCTTCTGAATGCATCTCTTTTAACCCAATAGAAATATTGCTGTCCATTTTTAGACTGTTTTGCCAACAGGTGCTACTTACTTGTCAACTCTACATGCAGATCACTCTAGCAGTGAAATGTCTGCTGCACAACCTGTGCTCGTTCGCTCGTACATCGCAGTTCATTGGTCATTACAGAGACTAGTGAGCAGGAAGGGCCGCATCACGTCGCAATTCGCTTGTGAGTTGGCGACAACATAGCAACTTACAGTGCATTCGCAAACTCCACAATTTCATACTTAATTTGCAATTGGTAAAATTCTTCTATAACATCAATGAATTTATTTTGTTAATTGTATTAAGTTCCCACACAGAGAACTAACACTCTTGTGCATTCTGCTTCCACTAACCTTCACCGAACACTCCAATTTACCAATAAAGTACATCTAATTGAAACACTATTTACAAATCTGTATAAATCAATGCTGTAATGGTCCTGTTGGTGGACTTATTAGCGGCTTTTCCATTCCAGCAGCCGAGCTCTACATCACTAGTGCTAATTGATGACTTAATTGATCGGCTTGCTTGTTTAGACTTTTATTTCAATTGTTTCTTTGATCAGTCCTGAGTGTCCAAAATACCCAACCTCAAAGGTACTGTTTCCAACCACAACTTCAGCACACAGAAATTTACACTGCCTCTCCTCAGCTTGCTGGCCATTATTTTTGACCCAGCTAGCTGAATTACTAGCCAATCAACTGATGATGAAGAAACAAAGGTGGAAACAGAATGACACTGTATCAGACAGGCCCTCAAAGAGCATTTTTTTCTGCTTTAGAGGCAACACACATGTATGAGGACTGTTCAGAGATCTAGACATTTTTACAGGGTACTAAATACAAACTGCATATATATCCCAGAACAAAAAGCAAATTTAGAAATGTTCCTCAAACAGAAACCTGGAATCAATTAGGCTGCAATTAATACCTTGGCAGCAGTGAAAACCAGCACGCACTGGAGTTCCTGGGTTAGGAAACACTGGTGCACTGCATGAAACGTGCTGGATTGTGGCTCTTATGGATCATGGTTTGCCATTTCTGGTATTTACTACTAGTACTGGTGTTTTGGAATTCAGCTTGTGCTTTTGAAAGTGCTGGGATCTAACACTAATTTCCACTCATTTCTGTTGTGATTTCCCAACCTATTAAAAAAAAAATCAGTGCAAACACTACTGTATATCTGTAATCAAGAAGGGTAGAGAAAAGAAACATTTCCAAAAGATTTCAGTAAACTTTCAGCCTCAGAACTAAAGCATTAAGTTACACCTACTTCCCAATCCTAATTCCTGGACTAGAAAAATGCAGAAAAGCATTGCCCTTAGATGTTTTTTAAAAAGTGGAGAATTACTTTACTGTGACTTACATTCTGAAGGAAAAGCTGGTAGGAGAGAAAAGAGATGGGCATCTGGGTTCAGTGGAAAGGGTGTATTTGCCTAGTGCTGGCATGTGCAGGCTGCTGTTCCTATTTTGCACTTACCTTTAAATTGGGTTTCGCAGCCCGTGGGTTGGATGCTATTAAACCATCCAGAAATTTCAATAGTGGAAGCAAATACCACTTAGAGAGAAAGGCTTCGCCACACCCGTTCTGAGCAGTGCTTGCCTTTCGTTTCTCCCGGGCATACTGAGTTTTCAGATTTTTTATTTTTTTGAGTACCTCTTCTCCTGGAAAATAATAGATAATTGTTAAATCTTGTCTTTTTTTTATGCTTACTTTTAAGCAACTGGACAACCGTGATCTGGAACCCAGGAAACAAAATTTGAGGGAACATAATGTAATTAATGTAACTGCACGTTCCATTTTCCTATATCCTTAGGTAAAAACAGTTTGTACAGGTTATTTAACGCAAACATAGCTACGTATATCAATATTCCAAGACTGCCTGAAAGCCTCTCACAATTTTGGCGAATGACAAAACAAGACAACGGAACATCTCTTGTTGAATGTGTTCGTCGGGAAAGTACTGAACAGTACTTCCAGTTAAAATGGGATTTCCTCTTCAACCGTCGTAAATTCTGAATTAAGTTATATGGCGCCACCTTTGGACTAGGTACAAGGTTTTTTTTTTACACTTACCAGTGGTACCCAATTGCTGGGCAATTTCCTCGGAATCGTGTTTTCTACACCATCTGTCGTGATATTCACGGACTTTGGGGTTGTACAGAGAGGGCTTTGCTTCCCAAAGGTCACAGAGCTCCTCCAGTTTCTTACGCGTCCAGAAATCTTTCCACTCCATGGCAACAATTCTATATTGTGATTCTGTATTCGAAAAAAAGGTTCGGCTTCTAACCCTGATCAGGGATGTGCAGCCTATCGGGCCACCTCTTTTATTATCAGATGGATTCGGGGCTGCAGCGTTTCACGTCTGCACGGTCTTTGTTGCGCAACTTGTTTCTGTGTTGCACAACAAATGTTTTCCGGTTTGTAGTGACCTTTTGTTTCCTCTCAGTGGACATCAGAAACCCCTTTTGACAAAAAGAAAACCCAACCCCGCTAAAAAAAATAAATAAAAATCTTCACAGCCGTGTTTTTGTTTTATTGCACGTCAAAACCTTTTTTTCCCGATACTCTAGCAATGGATAGAACACGCCCTGTCGACTGTAAACAGAGAATCCATTAAAAATTCACACAAGTAGACAACTCTCCACTTAAACTCTGAGCGTTAAGGAATGGGTGGGCTTTCTGTTGGTGAATAAGGGGCGACTATATCTGCTACTATTGGCCATTTAAGCAGCAGTACATTTTCATGCGATGCGATTGGTTAGAGATGAAGGATCTGTGTGCCTATTGGCGCTTATTCGTCTCCCGGTCCTCCTCAGCGGGCCGTCTGTAATTGGCCAGGCGCTTTGCCTTCTCTCTTGTGATTGGCCAGGCGGCCAGAGCGCCCTCCAAGGTTAGAGCCTCCCCTTCCGGTGTGACTCGAAGGTGTTGTTGCAGAGACGGATGGAGAAGCTTGAACCTGTTTAAGCACGGCTATAGAAATGAGTTTAGACTTTTAGGTATTTGTTTTCAGTACACGAATAGCTGTAGAAAGAGAATTCCGCGACGTCGTCGGGTAGATGTCTAAATTATTTAGCGAAGTGGATATTCTGTTTTGGAATTTGACTTAAGTGTATCATTTTCATAGAAGAAGGAAAATTTGGGAAAATCTGTACGGTAAGGGACTCTTTTCATTTTTGTCCGCAAATGACTTTTCTAGTGCATTATAGCAGTATCTTAGCATCTATTTTAATTTAGCGTGTTTGAAAATACAGGTCGGAGAAAAGCGGGATGCATGATGTTTCCTACGTAGCGATGTCTACTTGGTCAAATTGCTATTTTTTCGGCTGTTGTCCACGCGTCATTTTTTTCCGCATATTATCCTAGAAAGCCGAGCATCTCCGATTTTTTTTTCTAGGTTCATGACACGTACGGGAGGAAAACAAAAGAATATGTGCGCGGATGATTCTGTAATTACTTGTTTTGGGTTTGCTTAAGGACGTTTGCGATGCAGATATGACCCCACAGGAAGCGAATCACGTTTATCCCGATACCGGAGTGAATTAAAGTGGTGTGTTGTTGGTGGCTAACTGGTCTGGTACTGCTCTTTCTCCTAAGAGTGTAGACCGTACATAACTCGTATTGCCTTCACCATATCGTGAATGCGTTGGTCCTCGGAGACCACTTTCTAGTATCATGAAGGGTATGATGATCTCTGTATGATTGTAAGCATTTCGAATAACTGCATAACGTCATCCAAGCGAAAACAAAGCACTTGCGCCTAGCCAATAAGCCTTACAATTCCCCTAAAAATGCATGCCCGGTATTGAGGTATCGTTTAATACCTCGATTTTCTTAAACAACATTTCGTTGATCATACGAATAAGTAAATATAGCTTTTCAAAATGCAACTGTGATCATCTTACCTAGAAGCAGCGACGCTTTGGATATTTAATCGAGGTTCATAAACCGACGGTTTATCAACTGTTAATTTCGGTAATCGCGTGAATGAATGAAAATCCAGCCTTATTTCAACGGTGGGAAGTGCCGATAACGTCATTCATGGAGCAGGCGATTGAAGTAAAGGAGTCGCACCTTGATATAATAGACTATTTCGAGTCCAGTGATTTGTGGGTTTTTTTGTCTCGTTTTTCAATACAGTCCTCGTGGGAGTCGTATCAATTCTCGATGAACGTTTAAGATCTTGTATAACGTATAAGATATGGTCTTGGTTTCTCAGAATTTGAGAATTCTAACGTTGTTAAAGCAAATAGGATTCCTCCATCGAAGGATGTCTGTTTGCGATTTTGGCAGTGGGGAAAATCTCATTTAACACCCACCAAGAGATGATCCCAGCCGGCTACGGAGAAAAGTCCATTCTTTTCATCTTTTTTTTTCATCTCCTGTCCAGTTGTTTCGATTGAAAGTAAGACTCTTCTCCGCATTTACAGGACCTTCGTCAAAAGATGAGCTCCCAGCAGTTTCCAAGGGCAGGAGTTCCAGCCTCTAGCCTGGGACAAGCACAGATGACAGGGGGAAACTCCAGCCTGGCTCCAGGAAACCAGACTGGCACAGGTAAAAAAAAAAAAAGAAAGCTTGAAATAATTAAGCCTACTGTAAGGTTCAGTGAATCTGCGTAGAGAGGAATCTTTGAGAAGCGCTTTGAGTAATTTTTAATAAGCGCTTTGAGAAGCCACCTTTAAAGGCGCTATATAAAATAAAGTTTATTATTATAATCTTGTGGAGCAGATTTTTTGTGAGTGTCTTGTAACCAAAGCCAACCTGCACTAATAAGTCATAGAAGGACCCAAGTGTCTCGTCTAGCTCTCAAACGTGTGACGTGGAAAAGGGCCGCAGGGCCGTCGCCGTCGTCGTTTTCTCACCCTCCGAGCTGCGCGTTTGCTTCGCAGGGGGCGGCGAGGAAGGCTGCCGGGAGCCGGACCACACTCCACGCGACCACCCGCCCAGCGGCGGGGGGGCCCTGGCCTTCCGCGACGAGAAGCAGGAGACGGTGGTGGTCAGGCCCTACCCGCAGGTCCAGCCCCACGGGCAGCCCCTGACTCTGCCTCAGCACCTCCCGCTGCCGGCCGGCCCTCCGGCTACCGTCTCGGCGCCGCCGCCGCACCTCGCCCAGGCCTTGCCGCTGTCTTTCACCGAGGCGTCCATGAAGGTAGGGCACGGCGAGCTCATGGCGTCAAATCGGCCGATAGACTCCACCGCCGGAGGTGTGGCATGGGTTTCTTTTACCTCTAGGACCATAGCCATTTTTTCATTTTTTTGTAGTTGTTCTGAGGTTTAATCCAGTTGTTAATTTTTAATAGTTACATTTTTTGAACGTAACCCAATGAATGAAGACCCCGCAAAATTTCATTGACTTGCAGTTCTCCTTAATTCTAAATCCTTGTCCCTCCCTGAGCTGTATCTTTACTGAGCGGCTTTAATACAGTTGAACGTATAAATTGTGCTATTGATCTTTTCTTGTACATCATTTAAAACAGAATGGTGCCAAATGTATTGATTTATATTCCTGACTTTCCTCTATGCCTCCGGGTGTTCTTAGTTTTGAGTGCCATGTGCATAAAAGTAATAGGTGAATTGTGTGCTTGAGTGTGGAAATCAAGCAGACACATCACTAGGATCACCATACGATGTTAAGTGAAGTCAGGATTTAAAAAAAAAGCTTTTCTTTTCATGCCCCCCCAATTTGGGTTTCTTTATGCAGACTTAAAATCCTAAGATGGGAGAGTAGGTATTTGGCTCAACCAATTTGGTTGGTTTCTAGTTGGTAAGATTTTGAAGAACATTTTTTTAAGCCTTTCAGCCTTGTTAGTCTTGACTTCTTAGAACTATTCACTCAAATTACAAGTCAGCGGTGCCTTGGTATAGAGTTTCTGTCAATCGGAGGAGTGGAGCTTCTCTTGTGGACAATAGTGCTAGCTCGCTTGTGCCCTGCAAAACAGGAGATGTTTTTCTGTGGGTCAGGCAAGCAAAGGGAGGCACCATTTGCAAGCTAACTTGCCTGGCTAAGCCAGTGAGGCTCAGTTATGGATACAAATAGCCAATGGCATGGCATTGGCACTCACCAGTGCTGTCTGGACTATAGGACTCATTCTTGCTTTCTGTTCTGGACAGGAGCCTTAGGTGGTTGAGCTGCTTGGGAGGCCCTTGATCCTCGGCATGTGGCGTGTGATCTCTGCTCCAGCATCTTTCTTGATATGTTCTTTGTGCTTTTTCAGTCTGCCCTGAAGCCAGCTATGCCTAGCCGCCCCATTGCCCCAGCACCAGCTTCTAGCCAGGGTCACCTGACTGTTCCAGCCAAGGTTCCCGGTCATGTCACAGTTACTATGGAAAGCAGCATGCCTCAGACTTCAGCTATCCCCGTGGCAACCATCAGTGGGCAGCAGGTGAGAGGATAGCACCTTTCCGTCTTCTCTCAAGGGCCTTAAGGTTGCTGTGCTTCACTGGGACGTTACACCAGTTTCAAGTATTTTGGTGTTTGCATCATTTGCCGGACCTTTTGCACGTCTGCATTTTTTTTTATCATGTCGCAGGCCTTTTGAAATTTCTGTTTGAGATGCGCGAATGCGTGAGCTAAGTCCTTTGCGGATGTTTCTCCCTCTCTCCCCTCTTAGGGCCACTCCGGTAACCTGCATCCGTTAATGGCAGCTAATGTGCAGATCATCCGTGGCAGCACGCCGGCACTCCAGTTAGCGTCCCCTGCGGCCCCACCTCATACCTTTACTTCCCACTTACCCAGAGGTCAGCCTGTCTGCTTTTTAAAAAGGGGAACCTGTTAATCTCCTGGCAGTTTAAAGGTTGAGTGTATCTGTGTTTATTGAAAAGGCACATCACATGGTTGGATTTAAAACAGTCAGGCACTTTAGATGCTTCTCTGTAAAATGAAAGTATCCCTTCCAATTAATGGATGTAATTATAGCACATCGTAGTTCACCTTTTAAGGTGATGATTGCATTAATTATTGTCTTACCTGGATAGCAGTTGAAAATGTCTGATGAATGAGTTCATAGCCCTTGGTTTGTAAGAGAATATAAGTGTTTATAGGAGTCAGGAGGCCGTCTTACATGATTGGTTATGAGCTATTTGATATGGATATTGTAATGTATTTTGAGCCGCCTTTACTGTGGAGGCTTTCTGCTTACTCTTTCTCTTCCATAACAGTTTAGGATAGTACAGCACCTAACAAAATAGTCTGTACATTATAGCATTTGATGATGTGGGTGTCGTATTTTAATAAGGAGCCGGGGGTATATTGGTTCTTGACGTTAAACAGGAGCAGCAGCAGCCGCTGTGATGTCCAGCTCGAAAGTGACTACGGTTCTGCGTCCTGCCTCTGGTCCGAGCGCCGGGGCGGTCCAGCCCACTGTGCAGCACATCATCCACCAGCCCATCCAGGTACAGAGCTTCTCTGCCGTAACTGGAACACAAGGTGTAAGGTCTCTGTATCTTGATTAGTGGTGTCTTTCTACCATTAACGGAATAACTGTTCACTCTTCACAGATTAACTCATTGGAGTGTTATAGATGCCTTATTCTACACACAATGTGTAGATGTTATGTTTCTATTTATTGAATTTGAAAAGCTGAATTTTATTTTAGCTGATTTTCACATACTCTAGCCTGTATTTATAGCATTTCTGTTTTGCTTGAAAGTAATCAAGTTTTTATAGATAAATATTTCTCCTTAACTCATTGACTGTTGCCGGATGTTGCATTAGCAAAAACGTTTAATGCAGTCGTTGGGAGGTCTTGCATGTTACGTGGCTAATGCTTAAAAAATCAGAACCCATTAAGCTTTTCTAGACTAAGATCTTCCCCCCTCTCTTTCAGTCTCGCCCCCCTGCCACCACCTCCACAGCTGTGCTTCCTACTGTTGTGGCTCCAGTCTCGGCGACCCGGGCCCAGTCCCCAGTCATCACCACTGCGGCCACACACACGGCTGAGATGATGCACGGGTGGGGACATCAGCAGCTCTGTCTGGCCAGTTTTGCATTTCAAGAATTTAGGAGAAAGTTATTTCTGTTTGATTGTTAACTTGTTTTAATATCGCATACCAATGCTGGAATACCATTGAGGTTTGGTGATCTAGTTACCTACTTGAGCCTTGTAAAGGGACCATCACAGCCGTTCAAGACGATGGTACATGCATGTGTACCAGGGAGGCCATGACATGATCCCTGTAGGCCACCATCGCATGGCCAGGGTATTGCATTAATAGAAGGCTTCGTCACCTTGATCCATCTTGGGAGTCGTTAGCCAGAGCTGTTGATCCAAGAGAGCCGTACCAATGTGTGAAGGCATGCAGCGTATTCTGTAAATCTGTCCCAAGGGTGCTGATATTTTCTGATCACTTGGCTTAGCTCTCCCTTTCCTTATCTGATTTGTAGCCGCCCTGCTCTTACCATTCACCAGTCTCCTGCCACCATTAGTATCCAGCGGCAGCCCCAGTCTCGAGACAGTGCCACGCGCATCACTCTGCCCTCCAATCCGGCCATCGGTACCCAGAAGCCGCAGCTGCACACCATGACTCAGCAGGTATCAGAAATAAGTGGTATCTGGATGCTTTATTGGTACATAGGCCTATTGTGGACTTACTAGGATCCGTTCAAGTGTCCATTATAAAGTGGATAATCTTTAATCAGCATTTCACTGTTATTTCTGCTTCTTTCAGAAACCTCTTTATAGCAACGTGCCTCCTGTTGCTGCAGCTACAGTAGCCCCAATCCTGGCCACGAACACAGTGGCATCGCCAACCACAACTGGTAGGTTGCAGCAATAACTTCAAGAGCCCCAAACTGCTCTCTGGAGAGACTGTAATATTGCAGATCTCTCTAGAGTAATAGAATGATGTGTTAGTGAATATTTGAGAATTAAGCATAGGTATTTCTCAAACAGGATATGATTACTATTGCAACTCTTAGGACTTAGATTAGCATTTTCTGTATCTAGATTCTTCTGAAAACATTACTAAAATAAGGATTCTGTTGTGTATTAAAGAAAATTAGTCTTTTGAAAGTAATGAAAGCAATTGCTGCATCTTAATTACAAATGTCTCGCTATCCAGTGCGCTGAGTGAGTAGATCGTGTAAGCCGATCTATACCAGAAAATAGTGTCTCATTCTAGGAAGCAGGGACAGAGGCAAGTCTTGAGAATGAAACAAAAGCATCAAGGGCATTTTACTATTATGGTATGAAATACAATAATGTGAAAATTGGTATTATTATATAAACTAAAGGGAATAATATAAAGATCATCGAGATGTTTTACATCCTAAACAACTTCCTGACGTATTGAGCTTTATGAATTTAGGGGTATTGTTCCTTTTGTTCATGTCCTTAACTATCTTATGTGTTATTGGCGATCAGGGTGAATATCAATATGGTTTTATTCCACCAAGACATGGTGGATAAATGCAAGGGTATTGTTTAATTAAGGAGCTGCTTATAATATTGGAGCTTTTGATCTTGTTCATCTCCTGTCTCAGGATCCGTAGGCCATACCCAAACAACTACCAGTACAATAGTTACCATGACGATGCCCTCTCACTCATCGCATGCCACTGCAGTGACCACCTCCACAATCCCTGTTGGTAAGAATGTTTACTCCTTCCTCTGTACAACCCCATTATATTCTCCAAACCAACCACAGTTCCGAATAAAAAATAATCCTCATTTAAACGTGCTGTTATTTTAAAAAATCAGGTGCTGCAAGAAAGGCAAATTGGAATATCTAACTTGGTATTGTGGCAACCATTTCTAAATGTAAATGTATGCAGTTGGAATAACAGCTCAAAATTGTGTTTTCAGCGAAGGTGGTTCCTCAGCCCATAACTCATACCTCTCCACGCCTTCAGCCTGATTACCCTGGAGAAAGAGCAAGCCTCCTACCAGGCTTAGCTGGGCACAGGTCTTCTCCAAACCCAGTCACCATGGAGGCTAGGAGTGACAACAGGTGAGTGTTGCTGTTTCCGCCCTCTGTCTCTATGTGATATCAGTTCAGTATTTCTTTACCTATGTTTTTTATTTGCAGATTCTGAAAGATTATAATTTGTGCTGTGAAATGTGAAGAGAATGAATCTTTGTCAAATTTATATTTAATTTGAGAAGAATTCGAAATAAGATGTCACACTGTGCTTTAACACCAACAAGACATGTTTGGCTTCGACCCTTCTGTTTGGACTTTCAAGCTGAGATGTGAAAGTCAGCAAATGTTGGCTTGGATTTACAAAGGAGTTATTTGGATGCCTTAATAGCTTATATACTACAATGCGGTTTCTAAACAGAAGTCCGAGCTGCTATAAAAAAAAAATTGAAGAAGGCAACTGCCTTTTGCAATTTATTCTTGTTTTACTGTTTGAGATCTTTGCTCTTAAGTGAGTGATAAACCAGTTAGATATGGATTGGTTTTCCACCCCAGTATTGTAATATGCTTTCTCTGCCTCCAACAGGCAGTCTGTGCCAATGCAAATCCAGTACTTCCTGCCAACATACCCTTCGTCTCCGTATCCCCTGACACACACTTACACGCCTATCACCAGCTCTGTCTCGACCATCCGCCAGTACCCAGGTATGTCAATAAATACGATGACCAAGCTGCAGTAGCCTGTAGTTTTGCATCTTGTCACTTCTCTATCCTTGAAAGTTCACATTTGTAGTTCTAATGTGAACTCCAGTGATGTGTATTCTGTGAAAACAGGTTATAAAAGGAGGGGAAGCTGTGTGGTGTGCCGTTTCATCTAAATGTGATGCTGTCGTCTGGCTTTCTGTTGTACCAGTGACTCCTCAGGCCCCCAGTTCAGCCATGCCTGCTCAGGCCGGCGTCGGCGTGGCACCTACTGTCCACCTGAACCACATGCAGCTGATGGCGGTGGACCGCATTGGTCTGCAGTCTGCACCACTCAGCACGCAGGGAATGCAGTCTGCCGCCGCGATGGGAGCGCAGGGGATCCAGCCAGCACCCATCGGAACACAAGGGCTCCATACGTCTGCGCCCATCAGCACCCAGGGGATCCAGCCAGCAACGATCAGCTCTCAGCAGCAGCAGCAGACAGAGGCCAAGGCATCAGGTAACCACAGGAACGAGAAACAATGCTTTTATCTCGCATTTCTGTGCAGCTTTGCGTGATGAAAACTATTTTACAGAATTCTTCTTGCATTTTATTAAAGAAATCTTTCGTTGAGGATTTTTATGCACCAAATGACTAAATCTCTGCCTAAATACCTTTAGCGTTCTGGAGGGGGGGGGGGGATTTTCAAGTAAACAAGTCAAATTTCCTTTTGATCACAGCATATGGGTGTTCCTGTTTTGCAGCCTAATTAAAAGAACTCCTTTGCTTTGTCCCATAGTGGTTTTGGCAGATGGTTCCACTCTTGTTTCCAATCCTATTAGCAACACGTTCAGTGCAACGCAACCTGTTTCCACAGTTGCACAAACGCACCCGCAGAGTGGCAGCTCCAGCACTCCCACGCTCATTTCCTCTCCCCGGCCTAGCATTCTCCGCAAAAAGCCCGCCGGTGAAGGGTAAGCATGCCAGTGATTCCAGTTCGCACATGCGTTCTCTCCACCCCAAACTGGTCTCCTCTTCCCTTATTTTTGTTCCAAGCGCAGCTTTGTGCTCCACTGGGTATCTGAACCAGTAGCTGATGTGGGGGGGTGGGCAGGTTAAAGGAGTTATTTTTTCCCCCACTGTCACCTTCTTTCTACGTCATGGCATAGTCCCTGACACTGCACATTCAGGACAGTTTGTGTTTAAAAGCGGAAATTCAAACATGGATCAAGTAAAAACATAGTATGAAGTAATTTTTGGAAGCGAGCGGTCTGTTCAATATGACATGAAGTTCAGCCGCAGTTTTGTTACCACTTACTGCGGTTTGGAAGACGAACACATGAAATGGCGGCACGCATTCGGAGCTGTTGGCCAAGAGGAAAACCTTTGGGAGGTGCCGTGGAAGTTTTCCTTTGGGATCGTTAGGATTTGTTCACGACACAGAGTGGTGGTGTTTTTTTTTTTAACTGCGTTGTCCCAGTGCGGTATTGTAAAAGAGCTTTTGCTTTCAGCTCCGCCGTTCGGAAAAACGCTTTCCCATCCCAGGCCGCCGAAGCCACGAGCCCGCGGCTGGACGGGGCCATCAGGAGTGCGACGGGATCGCCTCGACCTGCGGGGTAAGAGCCAAGCCCTAGCACCTGGTCGGGAAGCCGAAACAAAAACCCAACCCCTGGAAAGAGAAGCCCAATTGTCAAATTCATGCGCTGCCATTGAGAACCCAGGACCTCTGTCCGAGAAGAACCTAGCAGTGCTGCTTTGTGCAGATTGCTTCCCCGTTAGCTAATGTAACCCGAGATTAGACAAATTCATGATTTTCGTTTGCATTTTAAAAGCCAGGTGTCTTAAGTGGTGGGTTTATAGTACCTCTGTGTGAAAACGTCTTGCGGAACACAAGAACTGAAACGCTTAGCTTCCAGATGAGTTATTTTATATGCAGTAGTCCTGCGACGACTGGTTTTTGCGTTCATTTATCTAAACTTCAGATATCTTGAATGCAGTAGTTCCTGCATTCTGCATGTAGCTTCTGGCTTTTAATGTCAGGAATTTCCATCTAATCCTGAGGTTATCGGGAAGTAGTGAAGTGATCTGTATAATAGAGCAGTGTGAAGTTATTCTCTGGATCTTAATGATTAAAGCTTGCCTTGAAGAGTGGAGAACAGTATAGTGTAAAGATGTGCCCTGTCGCTCAGGAGAAGGTGATAAAATGCTTCTGTATACAGGCACAGGTATATTAAAAACATTCACTGGATTTTATAGAAATGTATCCCAAAAGATAAGCTATATCTGTATCTGTCTACATCTTTCACCTTCCTTAAACTGTGGTGGGTGCCTTTGCTTGCAGAGCAAAATCCAAACCGGAGATCCACGTTGCGGTGACCCCTCCGGTGACTGTGACGGTGGAGGCCATGTCCATCCAGAGCAGCGAGCAGCAGGCAGCCCCTTCCCCTGCCCAGCATCCCTCGCAGGCGATCCCCGCCATCCTGACGGCGGCGGCGGCGGCCCCTCCTTCGCAGCCCACCGCCGCGCTCGCCGCCCTCCCGGCGGCCATGGCGGTCACCCCGCCGATCCCCGCTTCCTTGGCCAACGTGGTGGCCCCGCCCACCCAGCCGGCGGCCAGCAGCACGGCCGCGTGCGCCGTCAGCTCCGCCCTCCCCGAGATCAAGATCAAGCAGGAGGTGGAGCCGATGGACACGTCGCAGCAAGGTGAGACTTGCCTCCCCGGGTCACCACTGGCGCTCGTTGATTTTCTTACTAACACAGGGCAGTGGCCCTGTTGTGTGCCCTGGTAAGGGAGAAACAGATGAGACTTGCTGAGATTCCCCCCCCCCCGCCTTTTCAGAGCAATTACTCACCTGAACTTGTCGCGCAGCCCTCCTTTGTCATTGAAATCGTTTTGCTCGTACTGTTCATCAGAGACGGGGTGCGGGTTTCTTCTGTGATCTTGCTTGAAAAGAATTGACTGGCCTTAAGATGTTAGGGTGGTGAGAAAGTTTGCTGTCTGCACATGCAAGAGCACGCCGTTCAGTTGGCTTTTAAAATTTGTAAAATTCCTGTGTGGGGAAAAAAAAAATATATGAAGAGTGCGTTCTCTTCTCCTTTTGATTGTAGAGCAGTTGCAAATGAATTATTCTGTTGCAAGTTTGGTAGGGTTATAACCGCTTATATTTGCATCTCTTGTTTGCTTGCTTTAGTTCCTTCTGTGACTCCCACAGTAGTAGCCCCTGTCCTCACTCCCCTTGGAAACTCCCTGGGGCTTTCTGCAGGAGACCTGCTACCAGGAGCTTCCCCCCGGAAAAAGCCCCGCAAGCAGCAGCATGTCATCTCTACAGAAGAAAGCGAGATGATGGAGACCAACAGCACTGATGAGGAGAAGTCTACAGCTCGGCCACTCGCAATGAAGGCCGAGAAACGCAAGTCCCCTCCGAAGGAGTACATTGGTGTGTGATCCTTTCTGCTTGAGTGTTTAAATCATGGCTTGGTAGGGGTGACCGTGGAAATACCTAAAGTTCTTTTCCATTGTAAAATCCGCTTTGTAGGTATGAGGTTACCTGCAAGTGTAGAAAAGGAGATTTTGAGCCATTTGGTGCAGAGGAGAAACATTGATTTCCAGAGGTGCTTGCTGTTTCTAACTCTTGGTCGACTTTGTGAATTGTGTGATTTATGAAACTATGGATTACTTTGTTTCCCAGGCTTGTTCCTGTATAATATATTGTCCTAAATTGAGCTGTTTGCTTGCTGTTTTAAAACCCTTACATTTCTTAAATGAGTAGAATGCAGCTAGAAGTTCCTAACCTTGTATAGTTTCAGGGTCCTGGGCAAAGAAAAAAACTTGGCCATGTGATTGACTGTTATTGGTCTGTTAGTGCTAATGAGTTTTTGATGGTATAAAGCGTTGTTAACTGCTGGATCGTTTTTTTCAGATGAAGAAGGTGTCCGATATGTTCCTGTCCGCCCAAGACCCCCAATAACTCTGCTGCGCCACTATCGGAACCCATGGAAGGCAGCTTACCATCACTTCCAGAGATACAGTGACATCAGAGTCAAAGGTAGTAACCTTTTTTCTATGTCATTTATTTTGTTTTTATAGCCAGCAGCTATATCACCCTGCAACTCGCAGCTGCCAACCCACTGAAGCTAAATAGGTGTGAGCCTGGCTAGTACCTTGATGGGACCCCCTGGGAATAACTAAGGTTGCTGATCACTATAGTGATGTTAGTGGGGCCAGCAGGGGGTGCTCGACCTGCATTCTGTGGGTTCTAATGCCCCACTATAGTGATGGGAACATTATACTATAAAAAGGGGCCGTCCTTCAGGTGAGACATAAAACCGACTTCCTGACTCTTCTGCTCATTAAAAATCTCAGGGCGTTTTTCTGAAAGAGTAGGGGTGTATCCCTGGCGTCCTGGCTGAATTTCCCATTGGCCCTTACCAATCATGGCCTCCTAAAAATCGCCATGTATGAATTGGCTTCATCACTCTGTTCTCCTTCCCACTGGTAGCTGGTGTGTGACCACACGTTGGTGGCGAAGGGGAGTCGTTCATTTTATATAGGTTTGTTTTGCTATTTGTACTTTCGAAGCTTTTTGATTCCACAACAACTCGGCTTTTAAATGTTATTGATGTAGCATGCAGTCCAGAGATGGGAATACACCAATATTAAAACAGAAGCAAAATATTACATATATATCTAATATCTTTGCATTGTGATTTCAGAGGAGAAGAAATGCACATTGCAAGATATGGCTAATCAGAAGGGTGTGGTGTGCAGAGCGCAGGGCTGGAAGATACACTTGTGTGCAGCACAGCTCCTTCAGCTGGTGAGTAAATCTGGATATCGCTGCAGTAAAGACCTGCAAGCAAGTAAAGACACGACTAAAGTGAGATGTGAGCAGTAGTGAAAAGTTATTGCTGGAAAAACAGGATATTGTGAATATCTTTGATTACAGTTAACTGAATAATTAAAATACATTGAAACCACCTTTTAAAATGAACTTGAAAAGTATTAAAGTTCGGAATATTATATTGCATTTTTTTGCACGGTGTGCATGGCATATGAAAAGAAATTCATTAAGAATTTGAAAGGAATTCATATGTATGATTTATAATATGTACAATTATCCATTGCTAGATGCGAAAAATGTACTTTACCACGTTGTAACAATCATGTTGTAATATTTGCTTAATTAAATATTGAAAACCTTTCATTTGAGAAGGATATCTGTAGAGTTCAGCATTGCCCTTCATTGAATACTCTAAGCGTACGTCGGCTGCTTTGCCTGTTAGTGCCCAGATCTGCTGGGCCGGGTTATGACTAGAAAGGAAGAGCAGGTTGTTCCCGGTGATGGTGTTGGCAGGCCAATAGATGGCACTCCTCCCTCTCAACCTGAATTTCCAACCCAGGGACTTGGCATGGTGACAGGGGATAATGTACTGTTCTTACAGTGTGGAGCCGAGGTCCTGGATAGAGCCCATGACCCTTTCTGAAGGAGCTGGATGTTGAGAGGGTTACTAACCCAGGCATCATAGCTCAATTCCACTTTGGGTTTCCATTGTCCCCTACATTTCGCCTTTAATACAGCGTGTCTTTACCTGATCTGTGTGCATGAGCTGAAACCCAACTGCTGCTCTGTGCCACCTGGGTGGTTCCTTCCCTTCAGTGGTGGATGAAGAGGGCATTTCCTCTATGTGATGTGCTTCAGGATGAAACGCGATCTCTGAATGGACGGGATTATTAACTTCTGCTGCTGCCTTGTCTCTAGACAAGCCTGGAGCGTGATGTGTACAGCCGGCTGACTACACTCCAGGAAGGCCTGATCCCGAAGAAGAAGGCCGGAGCAGATGACGATCTGCATCGTATTAATGAACTCATACAGGTGAATCTAACACTCCAGCCCTTGTGCCAGAATTACATTTGTCTAGTTGCTCATCCGTGAGAGAATTCTGTTTTTAGATATTGAAAGCATGCAAAGCTGTCCTTAGCATGAAAAAATGTATGCAATGTTTGCGTGTATTGAACACAAAAATATCACTATTAAACCTTGGGACTGATTTATTTTACTTAGTGATAGACTGCTGAAGACTTCAATTTGCCCGTTTTGTGAAATTGTCTTTCTCTGTTCCATTAGGGTAACATGCAGCGCTGTAAACTGGTGATTGATCAGATCACCGAGGCCCGTGACGCAATGATGAAGGTTCTGGACCACAAAGACCGTGTTATGAAGCTGCTCAATAAGAATGGAGGAACCAAGAAGGTATCCAAGCTTAAACGGAAGGAGAAATCTTAGATTGGGGAGACGTATTTGGAGGATGACATGGCTGACGATCGTGACTCCTCACTCGTGGTTTGGGATTTTAGCTTAATGTGCACAATCGCTGGGCCCGCATAAAGCCAAAAGGCAAAAGACATTTGACAGATAGCAAGAAAAACACCGGGATGATTCTAGGAAAGGTTGTTGAAAGAACGGTAGTGACTTACACAGGAACATTTTTTGTTTTTCAGTTTTACTTTTGCTAATTCCGCACTCATATTGAATGCCTTCAGATTATGTTAATGAAAGGGTAAGCAAATATGACGTTTACCTCTGTGAATATTTAGACACTGTTTTATAAGGCCAGGTTAAAGGAAATCATATTGAGATTTAGGGTGCCTTGCATTATGTTAATTGTTACATTAAGCGATGAATGCTACTGTGAAGGGCCTGGAATCCAGCTGTTTTAGTAGTGCTATTTCGTCCTGCAATTATAGGGACCAAACATCCAGACTGCCACAGTTGCATTAAGACCTATTGTCAGCATTACAGTGTTGAAAACTGCATTAAGTGCAATTAATGTAATGACTTTTGAAGTAATCTTTTACTCCACTTAAAATGGTCCCATTTTAATGTTCATTCATTGAGTTAAATATTAAAATTAGTAATAAACCATTCACATGGTCTGTTACAATTTATGTAGCAGTACTTGGAAGCTGATTTTTGATTGTGACAGATTTATACAATCTCAATGTGTAAGGTGCCATAGATGAAATTCTTTATTGCATTGCACCCTGTCTTTAGTGGTTCGTATTGGGGAAATTTAGAACATATTGTGTACTTCATTATAAAATATATTATCCAGATTCCTGTATCATAAAGTCTCTTTGAATTAATGGTTGTCACATTTCTCATTTATCCAGCACCTCCCAAATGTATTTATAGAGCTTATTTTTTAATTGCAGCTGTAGGTCTGGACTTCTCCCAAATATTTGGAATGAAACATTTGAAGATAGTTTCGCAGTATATGGATGGCCCAAAGGCATTTCAAAGTGTATTCTTATAAATGGCGGATTATTTAGCTGCTGCTCTTTAAATGGTAAGACATTAAGTGTGTGGATCAGCTCAGTTCTAGTCCTTGTAACGAAGAAAGGACTGTAGAGGGTGCTACAGAGTTACACAAATGGTTAATTCAAAATAGATCGTTTTCTCATTGGGCACTAGACAAGCATCGTGAATGTCTGATGTGTACACACTCTTTAAAACTCATTTTGAGAAGAAAAACTCCAAGGAGCGGGTTTGAAGTGTTCCCCATGTATTGTTCTGTGCCTTTACAAAGTTTCAGTCTTACCTATGTAAGACAAGACTGTTACGCTTTGTAATGCCATTGCTTTACTTTGGAATAGAACTGAACATTGAAGATATACACCTGTAAATGAGCCTAAGAGAGGGTTGCACATATAACTTGAGCTGCACTCAGACCTAGAGAAAAGTATTTGCATAGCTTTTTAGTACAATATTTATAGGAGTTATGAAAGAGAAGTTCTTTTATCAAGAACTAAAACTGTAAGGTCAGCCCTATTCAGATTATTTTAAGACTGTCTTTGTTCATTTTAAGTTCTTTCCTGACTGCCGCAAAACTACAGGAAAGGTTTTTGTGAAACTGGGGTGGGTGTAAAATACCACACCCACACGGAGTTAATAATACATCATCATTTAATCAAAACATAAATAAAATCTGTTTTAGGCCTCCGATTGACAAAAAAAAATCTGTTGTTGCAAAGTTAAGTAGTTCACATCAGCTCAGTTCTAGTCCTTGTAGTCAGGATGAGTGAAATTGAATCCCAAACTTGTGTACCGAAGTGCTTCTTGGACAAATCTTGGCACACGTTTGTGGGGGGAAGAAAAAGAAAAGATTTATATTAAGTTAAAAATCATAGAACATGTTCTTGCACTTGTGCTCTTGGAAAGGACAGCCTGGCCCTCCAGTTTTCTTCAAAGGCTGTGAAAGCATACAATACTTGTAATAATTACATTAGTCTTCTACAGCTGGTGCTCCGTTTTACCTTATTGTTGCTTGAGGTTTCTCTTGCTGTGTTTTCAAAATCTGGAGATTTGGCTGGCCTTCTGGACAATAGGAAAACCTGAATATGTTTAGAAGGTGGTTTAAAAAGTTTAATTTGAAAGAAATATACATTACGAATGTTAGAATGGCCAATCCTGTTTATTTTAAGTGTATAAAGTAGATTGTTTTGTAAATTAAAATAGCTTCATTTTATTTCTATTTTTTGTTTTTGTATTTTATGAAGCATTTCTCCTGTATCAGTACCATTTTGGTCGGTTGAATTATGATTTTGTGATCTATGGTATGTAATTTTGCATATAGTTTAGTGTATGGTATGTGTTGTTAAGTCACCTTAAGAAATCTTAATTAAACTTTTTGTACATACACTATTTTTTATTGTTTCATGTGAAACGTACAGTAAATGTGTGATTGACATTTTCTGTCTTCAGGTAGTCTTCTGCTCAGCTATCTAGAACCATTTTTTCAACATCAAAATACATCAACATACAATGCTCATACTCAAAAGCAAATCTCCACCCTTCTTGGCAGTAGTGGATAAGCTGGTTCTAACTTGGATCTCTCAATTTTGATGTCTACCTTCTCATACTGTATATGTACATTACGCACGCTTCACATTAATTTTCTCCTGACCGCATTGCTGCTACCCATTTCTTTTCATTGGGAGCAAATTGCTAATCCTTACATTTTTCTAAAACCATACATGCATAAGAAAATTGATTTTTTTTTTTTGGTGGTATTAATGATGTAAAATTAGTTTCATCAGACAAACTATTGACATGTACTGTATGTTCGGAGCAGTCTTAATGCTGTGTGAAACTATGTAAACATTCCCCATATCACCCTGCAACTCACAACGGGCAACAATCGAAGCTAAGCAGGTGTGAGCCTGATCGGTACCTTTATATGAGACCTGGGAACTAAGGTTGCTGCTGGAAGAGGTGTTAGTGAGGCCAGCAGGGGCACTCAACCTGCGGTCTGTCTGTGTCGTAATGCCAAAGTATAGTGACAGAGACGCTATACTGTAAAAAGGCACCATCCTTCAGATGAGACATAAAACTGAGTACAGAGTTATAGAGGCATTAGAACCTTAGAAACCTCACAAATCCTTTCCAGTTCCCATATCCACGTTACCTTTCTTAATGCCTTACACGATACAAAAAATAGTTTTGTTATACTGATGAATGCCAACAAGTGATACAACTTTATCTCTTCAGTTTCTTTTCCTGTTTTGTTGGGTCTTTTGTTCAGAGAACTGTGTTAGTTCAACATTTGCCTGTATTAGTCTTAGCCAGGAAAAAGCAGACTGTAGGAGACTAGTCTCACAAGAGTCGTTTGGCTGTAATGGGATTACACAGCAGGAGCAAATGGCCTCAATTACAGAAAGAGTGGAGCAAACGACGGAAAGACCAGCAGAGAAGAGTGGGGAACTTGAGAAGCCTGTGTATTGCCTCCCTCATGGATCTAAAGGAGAGAGCTGGCTGGGGAGAGAGGTAAGAAAACCGTGCAATAAATACAAATCTGAATCCTGTGAATGGCAGGGACATGGGGCATTTAAGATATAGAAGGGTAAACCTCCAAAAGATGTAGTTTCTCGAGAGTGAATTGGGTTCAAGAGCATGTGGAGTGCAGTACCGGAACAAGCCTTTTCTGATTTCTCCTGTCTACAAGTAGAAAGCACTTTCAAGCACAATTGAGCAACTGTCCCACATCCTAAACTTGGAGCAATGTTATCAGTGGGGCACCAAAATTTGCTCAGTGCTAAAGGGATGATTTATTTTCTTTTTAATCTTGTTGCTTTATAGAGACTTCTCAAGATTAGACATGAAGTATTTTGAGATGTGTATATTGGCATGAATCCCATTTTCTTCTTCACACTTGCTCTTTTTTAAATTTAAATTCACTGTACCTTCAGTAATATTGGGACATGCTAGTGTAAAGCTATAGTAGGGAATTCTATATTTATCTTCAATGCATTTAAAACCTGTCCATGTTGGATGCAAGACCTTGTGTTTATGCTGTACAGGTAGAAAATCCAACAGTAAGAACAATAGAAAGACCTAAAACCAATTGATTCAGATTTACTACATAAATAATTCTATGTTGACCTTATTGAGCTATTGAAACAATGTCCTTAGAACCTATCAAAAGAAACTGTTAATGGTTATAAAAATTGAATTCCAGAATCTCCGTGAGGGTTTTGCTATCCTTTTACATTTATGTACACAAGGAATCTGTTGTATAGAGACAATTCCACTTCAATTTCAATCCATTTTTGTAGCAATCAGCATACAGTATGTATAAGCAGAAATCCATCTTAATACTTTGGTCATGTTGCATTAAATAGAATAAAACTCCTTTGAATTTTGCCTGTATGGTTGTGCTGCCCTTTCCAGAATGTAAACATTGTTTGAAATCATTTTGTATCTCTGTAATATAATGCATAAACTTCAACTCATTTTACTTTTTGCAGAAATATTCAAAGCTGTATAAATTCAGAAGCATCCATTATACAAGTTCCAGGATTAAAAATGCTACAGCTCATTTTCATCTGGACACTCTCCTAGGCATTTCTCCAAGTGATTACACCTGCACTGTATTTTCTCAGAAAGATAACCACTAAACATAACACACTGGGGTCTATCAACTTCATGACGATTACAGGGTGAGGATAATGGCACAAGCAAGGTATAGCTGCCAATCTCTGCATTGCCGTTTGGTTTGCCTTCTTCTCTCTAGAACCTTGTTTGAATATTCTTCCTTATGAGGAGTTTTGTGTTAAAAAATGAAAATCGGCAGGGTACCTCATGTAACCTGTTTCCAAACAAATGTTGCTATGTCAGCCTCCCCGAGCACTGAACCAGGGTACTTTCAATTTCTTTTGCTTTTGATGTCTGAATCACTCAGCTGGCCTGGCTGTGAACTCTAATCCCCCAGATGTTCAAATCTAACACCCTTGACGGTTTCACTCCACAATCCTCCTGTCCAAGATCTGCCTCTGAAGTGTAGTGTGTAGCACTAATTCCAATTGGAGTTGACTGTAATCCTAGGATTGCAACATTTTGGAAAGTGTTGGAAGACTCCAATGAACAAAATCCTGCTTTATATTCACTTCTGGTCTGGGCTTTTCATCTCCTGCAACTTCTCTTGGATTTTTCACAAGCCAGCACCATTCTACTGTAAATATATGGCAACATTCATCCATTTTCTAATCCGTTTATCCAATTCAGTGTCTCAGTGCGGGGGGGAGTCTGAGGCTGATGCAGCAAGCAGCCGGATACGGATGCGGCCAGTCTGTTGCAGGGCACACACTCATACCTAGGGGCTTATAGAAACAAGTTAACCCACCCGTGTGTTTGGACAGTGGGAGGAAACCGGTGCACCAGGAGGAATCACGAAGACAGGTGAACATGCATACTTGATGCAGGTAGCACTACTGGAATTAAACCTGCAAGGAAGCCTTTCTAATCACTGCCAGCATGCTGTCCATGTTCCAACATGTGTAAATGCATTTGAAGTATGACTGGCTCGTTGTTTCTTACTCTAGCAATATGATTCAGATATTCTGGAGACAAGGGAACCCACTCTAGTTTATACATACCGAATTTCAGTCTTCATTTTTCTGTTCTTCTATTGGCTTTGATGAAGATTTTTGAAAGTCATATAGGAGAGACACTTGCAAGCTCTGGGACTGTATGAAGGTTCCCGAATGTGACACACTATACCTTCAAAGGTATGTTTTTTTTTCCCCTGAGAAGTTTGCCATGAATATTCTACTAAAACATTTTACTTCATTGAAAATTGTTTCAAGTCAGCTTAGTTGAGAAGTCAGTTAAGTGTTTCAATTGGCTAAGTTATGTGACAGTCATTTTGTTGCAAACGGTTTCATCATGGACATGACGTGCAGTGATCTGAGGATATTAATTTACTGTAACAATTAGAAATTGGAACAGTAAATTGCGAGAGTACTTGATGACTTTTAGAAATCAATTTACAGTCTCACACATGGATTCCAAACATACTCCATACTATTTATTGATATAACCACAAAAATATGCATAACAAACAAAAGAAAGACTATATTTATGGAACAATCTGCTGTGATACAAATGACTGATTATTTACTTAGGGATTACAAAAATCAGATTTTAAAAACTTAAGTTAAAATACATTGACTATAAGCTGTCATGGTCTAAATTTTTTTCACACAATTGCATCTGATTCAGATACTACGATACAACTAAATATGCATTTACCATTGTGAACCAAACATCAAATCTGTTTGGAATAATAATTCAACTCTTGAGAATTATAAATGAATAAATAGGATTTATACTCTACTGGTCACACATTCTTTTTGAGTTTAAACTTCTCACTGAGAAGGCGGGATGGCTGGTTTAGTCTGTGATCTGACCTAGTAGGCACTCCCTCTGTGCAGGGAGAGTCCTGAAGCCAGAGAGAGGAGAGCACTGTATCTAGTTTTGCTGAGGACAACTGTGAGAAGTTAGCATTTTTAAACTTGTGTCTTTAAAAACATGTACAGAGTTGTCTTCTTGGGGTCCACCCACAAGTTAGACAGGTGGGAGAACTCATTTCTTCCCTGCTATAGCTTGCTACTGAACATGTGTAGATATTCCAGATGTTGACATAAGAGGCCAGCTGTATTATTTTGTTGATCAGGGTTTGCAAACTCTAGATTTTTTTTTTTTGCAGAAAGATGCATATCTTGGCCAGAATTATTATGCGCTTTACTGACTCGCTCTCCCAGTCTGGCGTCTCAGAGAAAAGTACAGTATCACAGCCGGTGAGTGGTGGGGGTGTTATCAATTATAGTTCTGGTACCCACTCTGCAGGTGCCCCATTAGTGGATTGTCCTTTGGAACAGTGACCTGTGACCAGTTGTCTAGGGGAGAAACAGACTACAGACCCACCTGCCCTATACATCAATAGATGGTTCAGTATTGGATGCAGCTTTATATCTCTTACCAGAGATACATAGCCACATAGCCTCTTAGCCAAAGTCTACATTTACAGAGAGGTCCAAAGCTGCTTGCTCAAAGCAAGCAGTAAAATAGAAATCTTAGAAGATCATAGCTATTGTACATAGATGATATATTAATAGAATAGCAAGTAGAAATCTTAATGACGCTTGATTCTAAGTGAAATAATATACCTTGCCTCTACAGATAGTACACATTTCCCAAAAAAATTGAAAACGATTCCTAACATTTTGTGTTGTTAATGACAAAATTACTTGATTTTCACTCTGATGCAGTTTCCCAAAAAAGCAAAACTAACTGAACGTGTTTTTTTTCATAATAGAATTTGTAATAAAAATGTAAGTTTTAATAATAATCCTCTGGAAATGCTATCTCAAAATGATAACTTCCACCAGTACAGTTTCTTAAAAGTGAAAGACATTTCCTTGCAGGCCTGGCTGGTTTGTAGGTTATTGCCTGAATGATCCATGGACCCTAGCAATGTCATCCTTTCAAAGATCTTGGACACCTGGCCTGGAATAGACAATATGAAGAATATACCTGATTTGTGGCATGTTTGTCTGAGCTAATTTCCTTTGTAGTCTCTTCTGCTACAACAGCACTGTTTTAAATACTGTTTTTAAACTAATGACTAAATTCTAAATGGAATCTCAGACAGGAAATAATAGGTTTGTTCCATCCCTTAATTCGAATGTGTCACTTCTTGTAAAAGATGGCTTATTTTTCCTGTTTCTATGTCCTCTTCTTCTGAAGTTCCTCTACCCGCTTTTAAGAGTTCTTCATATAGTAAACATTATTCTTCAGGAGTTTATAATTTAATTTCAAACAGACAGTACATTTAAACCATTTTTGCCTACACCGAATATTTAATTTTCTTGTCCTTAGAGTACATTACAAATCTGTGAACCATACTCATCCATGTTCACTCTGTGACAATGATCTGACTGTTCTTCGTCAGCCAGCATCACTAAAGGAGGGGTAATAATTTTAAATCTAACCTTTATCACTCTGTGGTTTAATGAATGAGATACCGTACTCTCATAACCAAGAAACTGTCCCAGAACCGTAGTGCAATATATAGTTTCACATTCTTTAATTAAAGAAGACGTAGTCTTAGTCTATCAACTATACCTTCCAAATGTAAATATTGAACATCTTCAATTATCTTTGCTATTTACAACATGATTGCTCTTAGGGCATTAGTTTAAGGAGGACTCCCTGTTATATTGTTATACTGTTATGTAACATGTTAACGCTCCCTGTCATATCAAGTCCAAAGGGTATTGCCATTTGGTTTCCGCTTTGTAAACGAACATGTTCGGTAACTGGGCATCACCTGCGTCTAATGGAAAGAAAAAATGTTTGCGAGAAATGGGTTGTATTTTTCCTCCTGTGCCATGTGTGATGTTAGGCTGCCTGGTGGTGAGCTGTGAGAGCCCCTGCTAGGAATAACCCTACTGCGTAGCTCGCAGGAGTCGGGTCAGACTGCTGCAGCACCTGGTCCACCAGGTTGGGAGTTGGAAAAAATATTTTTTTTCTATTTTTACATCTAAGACAATTTAGTGAGCGAGAGAGAGAAAGAGAGAGAGAGAGAGTATATTTAACACAACATAATTTATGCTGTGCTTTTTTTCATATGGACTGTTTTGGACAGTTTTCTGTTCTGTGGTAGACTTGATGCCATTAAATCTCATACTTGGAAAAATAATCCCTTTGCTATATGGAGCTTTTTCATAACTTCAATGTCAGTGAGAGAGATATTGATCCTGATCCTTACAGAAGCCTGCTACATATTTGTTAGTGAAAGCGGATTGCTTTTAGATTGTGTCAAAATTCACCAAAACCAAACTTGTGGTATTTACTGTAGTTCTAAGCTTGAGATCAGAGATTTGAGATTTAAATGATAAATAAGCAGGGTTTCAATTTCACCAGCTTTGCTTCTTGTTGGGTGGGGTCAAAGCTTTATCCAACAAGAGGAGCAAAGTCAAAGTGCCATAAAGAGATTTTGTAAGAGCGACCTGCTTCCTTGTTCACGTAGTCTTCACTTCTCACACTGGGAGGCACAGGCTGACACTTGAAGTGGGGCACCAGAACCATCATTCTAAGGTAAAGACTCCAGTTTGTCGGCTTTTTATAGCAGCGTATATCTTAAAGTGCTGGATGACAAGGAGATTGTTAGTTCGATCTTAAGATGGTGTAAAATGACCTTTTCACTTCCGATCTTGGGTTCTTAGAGAAAGTAGTCTTGAGGAAAGAAAGTAGCAATCTGTTAAATCACAATAGAATTGTAAATAACAAACAACAGAAATGTATTTTTTTAGGATTTACATGATGAAGAAAAATTAGTATAAATGTCATTTAAATGTGAATAATAAGGCATACTTGGGATTCATAACGATTAGGCATCAGGTACACTATGATTTTTCATACTGTTTTAATTCTGTGATATATTCTTGTTAGGTGTTTGATTTCATGACATTCTGTTCTTAGTCAGTCTGTTGATGTTGGTGTTCAGTAATATTATATTGTATTACTACACACTTAGGTTACCTAAGTAAATGCTTGTTTAACAGTAAAATTCTTTTTTCAAGCAATTTCTAGTGTTACAATTATTTTTCACTTTTCTATATCATGAGTATTAGTATTCCAATTAATATTACCAATATTAATTAGAAAATGTTTATAATTAACAGTACAACTTATACTGCAAAAGTCATAGTCATCCATTGCACTGGTTATGTGTACGAGGGTCAATTAATCACCTGAGTAAAAGTACAAATCTGTGAAGTGTGAAAATGACGCATATGAAACCTTTGAAACAACCATTTCATTTGTGAAATGTAGACCATGAAACTCAAGACACATTTTGAAAGTATGAAAGAAGAACCTCCATATAGATTGGAAAACCTATTATTTCCTGGTATTTTCCCTAGGCCTAATCAGATTAACAGTGAGGTGAAAAGTCTGGCCTAAGGTGATTTATTATTACTTTCAAATGCCTGCATGTAAAATACACAAAAGACAGATCCTTTCATGTCCATTTTGTGCCTTTTTTTAGTCATAAGTCTAGGAATGACAGAGGGAGCTGTCCTTGGAAAAACAGAACATTTTACAACAGGATTACAGTAATAGTTCACTGTAACATAGTGTCATTTCGCAAACAATGGTCTCTCAAGGTCTACAATAATCCAAAACCACAAATTATATAACAATGTTTATGATCTGCATTGAATGGTGCTAAAAATGATTATTTTTAAATTAACTGACTTGCATTTGCTCGAGCATTTTTGAAAATACATCATTTAAGGTCCACACTTAATGAAAGGAGAGGAATAAAATGTCCACATTTTTTTTAAATCAAAAGTAAGTATTCTTTCATCAGCAAAATAAAAGTGTTTATAGTTCATTAACACGTAGATTGGGAAGTATACTCCATTAGAAAAAAAAACAGATTCAACACAATATTTGAATCCCAAGGGTACAGTAAATTGCAAACACACAAGATCCTTAGTGATATGAGTGTAATTATTTTTTTTTAACATTATTCAGCTAAGGTTATAAATAATTTTGCATAATCTGTTAAATTATTTTCTTTGGTATTGAACATCCCATCCTTTTCTTGATTTTTCTTATTGTTTTTTATTCTGTCAGTCAAGAATTCCAGTACAGTCTCCTCTGGGGTTGGTCATTTATCATTTTGCCTCAATAGACAAATTGAAACAGTACTCAAGAATATCGTTCCTGTTTGTGTAACAGGTATCAATAAACCGACATTTCACAGTATCAAATGTTTAAGCTTGCCTTTGTCTTCCTGTTTATTGCAGGTTACAGGGAAGAGGAAAACATTTGACATGGTTGTTTTAAGACAGGTAAGTTACTAAATATGTTTCCAAGTATATCTTGGAAGATAAAAATGACTTCTTCTTAATTACCCCTTTAAAATTTAGAGTTATTTATTGTGGAGTGGCTTTAGGCTGAGGTGGATTTTAGTTTTAGTTATGCGAATCCATAACTGGTGTAAGAAAACACACATTGTTTATTACATATCTGAATATGGGCATTTGGACAATAGACAGTCCCCAGCTAACCTGAAAACAACATAGAGCAGTTTAAATATATTTTTTGTAACAATATTTGTTGTTTGTGCTCAGTCGTGTCAGGTGAGAAATCATTGCAGATTGGTTTTTGTCTAACCTTACCATTTTGGGCTGACGTGTTTCAATGGCTGTTAGGGAGACCATGTGTGGGTGGACTCAGGAACTGGGGTGCTGATAGGAGCAGAGGTGAAGCTCTCCGACACTGGCCAGCTCCTGCTGATCGACGATGAAGGGAAGGTACTCGCTGTACTTTTTTATGTCCTTGTGTGAATCTCATGGGAAGAGTAAAACAATCCAATGTATCACAGTATACACAAACAAAGCAAAAGACTTGTTTCTGCAAAGCCTGGTGAGTAGTAGCTGTACATTGTTAAAGAGCAACAGACGACACGTTTGGTAAATGACATCAATACAAAATCATTAATTCTAAACATGCAAGTTATTTTTTTCCCTTTATCATTTTTTTTTCTATTCCCTTTTTATTTTTGCACACAATTTTTAATTGTTTAAATTTTTAACACATTTTTTTTCCCTAACTATATGCTAAAATCCCATGATAGGATCCACCATAAAAACTGTACTGGGGATAAGTGAAGCCAATAAATATCCAAACGTAATGAAAACAATAAATGTCCATTTCAGCGTGCAATATAGTGTACAAGAACCGACACCTCTTCATCTAATTTCAGGAACATTGGGTCAGTGGAAAAACAAAGGAGTCTATTCGGCCCATGCACCCAACTTCTGTCAAGGGAGTGGATGACATGATCAGGCTTGGTGATCTCAATGAAGCTGGCCTCCTCAGAAACCTCATGATTCGGCACAAGGAGGGTATCATATACGTAGGTTCTTAATGTTTCTACTTTAAAGTCCTCTGTTGTGATCTGCAGGTCTGGTTTTAAGGCACTGATGAGTTAATAATAAGGATCTTCAAGGAAATGTGTGGCTAAAAGAAAACACCTAATGCCTCATGACGGCAATATAGTTGTACTCAAGGAAATTCACACGTTCTTATACAAACAGCTCAATATAATTTGATAGAGTCACCAATAGAGTTCATAACACTATGTGGGAAAAGAGCCCTGAGAGATCAATGGGATGAATACATCTCTAGCATTACGGACATTAAAAAGTGTATTCTGTCCTAATAAAAAAAAAATCAGACCAGACACAGGCCATGTTTCGTAACTAGAGCAAATTGTTTCATTAATTAAATGCAAACATCAACAGACAGCTTGGCAGCGGGACTGCCAGTTCTCTGTTTCAGAAACAGAGTCGTACAATGCCATTTTGTGTTATCATTTCTTCATAGATTTTATCCCGGCAGCAGACTTTGCCCTCAATACTAATTGCAGTCTTTGCCATCTCCATAGAAACGAAACTGGTATACTAGATACAAGGAAATGTCTGAGTAAGAAAGACTGTGTTAGGCCTTTGATATAGTAAATCCTTTATTAATCTTTACTGGGTTACATCCGTTCTACTATTTTAAGTCTATTTCGTGATACAAAAGGCATACCTTTTTTTTGTTGTTAAATTTTTTACACATTTTTTTTTCCCTTACTATATGCTAAAATCCCATGATAGGATCCACCATAAAAACTGTACTGGGGATAGTACAGTTTAAGTTAGTTGAAAACCAGTTTTCACTTACAGTGACAACTGAGAGGCTGACAACAATTCAACAGGAAACGAAAATAGTGAAAATACAGTATAAAAATTCCATAATGCAACAGGACATGGATGGCATGATGGTGCAGTGGCTAGCACTGGGGCCATGGGTTCAGTTCCAGACCTGGTGTGCTGTCTGCGTGGGCGTTGAATGTTCTTCTGTGTTTGTGTGGATTTCCTCTAGGTGCTCTGGTTTCCTCCCACAGTCCAGAAACATTCTGGTTAATTGGTGTCTGGGAAAATTGGCCCTGGTGTGAGTGTGTGTGTTTGTCCGCCCTTTGGGATGGGCTAGTGGTTAGAAAAAGGAAGGATGGATGGATAACACGTCATTAACTATACAGCTGAAAACACTTTGCAATACATAGTGGATAATCCTCATTCTTCTGAAAAATGTTCCATCCACTAGCTTTTACAGTAGCTGCCGTTGCAAAGTTCAATTAGATAACAATGTTATATTACATCATAAACTATCAGATGCCACAACTGTAATGCATTGTCTTTATTGGAATGTGTTTCCCAATTAAAGATCTGGGAATTATTTTAAACCACCCGTCATATGAGAGGGCGGAGCAATCCCAATAAGAAATAGCACAAGGGATACATCCGAGGGCAGAACTGAAGCTTTCCCAAGATTTGCTGCAGTAAAGGAAAGTTTATAGAACACACTAATCAAATATATACGTTTTAAATAGAAAAATGTCATTAAATGAACAGAAAGAAAGGGTGGAGGATAATCTTAACAAAAAACTAGGTGGAATGACAGTCACCAAGAGCTTCTTTACCCGTGTTAAACACCTCCTTATTCCTTGCATTTGTGGTTCAGCATCTCTCCTCAATGCCCAATCTCCCCCTCTGCAGCTACACCTTGTTAACTCTTCACTCTGCATGGAGTTCCTAACTTCCTTGTTCTGTTGCCAGGAGCTTGATCCTTGCTAACTGAGACAAGGTAGTTAAACCAAAGCTTTACATCTTCGTATTGGGTGCTCTCATTCCTCGGGAACAGCACCCACTGGAAACAATGTTACAAAAGTACAAAGTGTACAGGTTCATGGAAAGATGGCTGTTGATCCAAACCACATTCAAACGCAATGCAAAAACATCGTAGCCATAATCCTGGCACAACTATCCCTTTCTTATAGGTATTTAGAATTAATGTATGATAAGCAATGATCTGATAAGACGTTCAGTAATCATTTTTTTTTTGTCTATAAATATTTATGGACGATGGACGGTGAACAGGCACAAGGCCGTCTCAAGGGGTGGGTTCTTAAGTGTAGTGGTGGCGGCAGGGAGCAGCTTTGAGGTGATGAAATAGCTACCTTACTGGCCTGCGCAAACAGACATACAGAACCGAACATGACTACTAATCACCGTTGTTGCAAATGCTATATCAGCACCGTCAGGCGTCTCAATGCTAACATTCCTGCGTCGTCGAGATCACCACCCGTGTCCGCTTCTCCTTCCCGCCTGGTTTTTACAACGAACCTTTCCAAAGACCCTTTAAGCGCCGCATTTGCATCCTCCCTCTTCTGCTTCCTTTATCTTTTCTCGCACCCGTTGTGGTATTTTTTAAAATTTCTTCCTATCTCTGCTTGTGCTAACCATTTTTCCACCGGCAAACGTTTTTTGTCCAAGCTAGCTATGCCGCAGTAACTTCTTAGCTCGCAGCTGATGGCCTATGACGCAGCTAGTGCGGGAGACGCCTCCAGTTCTTATAAAAAGCATCTGCTCTCCCACTAACTTGAGATTTAATCTCGATTTAAAAAAATAGATTTGTGTGTCGCTTTATTAAAACATCTAAACATGTCTTTATATTTGTATGCGTGTGTGAAGGAGGATTGGGGATTTGGGGGGAGCCCTGCACAGGCAGTTCTGACAAACTGCGGTCCAGTAAAGATGAGTGACAGGTCCCGCTCTGTGCTCAGACCTACACAGGCTCCATCCTGGTGGCAGTGAACCCCTACCAGCTGTTACCCCTTTACACCGCCGACCATGTGCACCGCTACACGAACCGGAGACTCGGGGAGCTTCCTCCTCACGTCTTCGCCATCGCCGACAGCTGCTACTTCAACATGCGCCGCAATCGTAAAGACCAGTGCTGCATCATTAGGTAAGGCACGACTTTTCTTTCTCAATTACTCCTTTTACAATCCCAAAGAGTTCTTTATTTGGAGTGTTTTTGCTGTAGGCTGAGGTAGATATATATGCACCATAACTACGGCAGGAAAAAAACAACAACTTTATTTACGTGTCTGAATACACATTGGAGTCCTCAACTTAACTGAGCACAAAATAGTTCCAATATATTCTTTATGTGTTATATACTTGTAACAATATTTTTTTTTTTACTGAACAATTGTGTTAAGGTGAGAATCATTGCAGCATTTATTACACTGACAGATTATCCGTATCAGCCCAATATCAATTTCTTTCATTTCTCTTCAAGAAGGCCAGGATACTTCAACCAAGCCGTTCTTGTTTTCTGGTCCTTCTGATCTGAAACAGAGAAAATAACTTAATTACAGTGAATTTAAGAACACGTGTGCTTAATTGAAAAGGCTTTTTTTATTTAGGAAGATTATAGAGGGGCCAATTGACCCATTCAATTTATTTCATTTCTAGTTAATGATTGGTCCAAGGATCTCTTGGTAGGAAAGTTCATTCTTTCAATGAACTGCACTTCCCTTTGATTTCCACTCCTGTTCTCTGGTTCATGTGGCACTGCCGATTCTGAAAAAGTCCATGGGTTTGACTTTTCTGTCAAAGCCTATGAGGATTGTGAATGCTCAAATCAGGTCTCCTCATTGTTGTCTCTGAGCTCTTTTTATCTGTCACAGTGTGACATGATCTATGTCCTATGATCCTCTAGTTCAGTTTTAAAGTTAATTACCTAATAATAATTCCTTACACTTACAGTATATACCGCTTTTCTGGACACACCACTCAAAATGCTTTACAGATACAGGTCCCCTCTACCCCCAGCTATGTACACTCACCACACACCAGCTCTCAGTGGGGAGGAGAGCAGAGTGATGAAGCCAGTTCTTAGATGGGGATTATTAGGAGGCCATCATTGGTAAAGGTCAGGGAGAAATTTGGCCAGGACACCTGGGGTAACACCCCTACTCTTTTCGAGAAATGCCCTGGGATTAATAATGACCACAGAGAGTCAGGACCTCTGTTTTGTCTCATCCAATGGACTTAGCCATTTTTCCAGTATATTGTTGCCATCACTCTACTGGTCCTATTAACACCTCTTCCAGCAGCAACCATAGCTTTCACAGCAGGTCTCCCATCAAGGGACTGGCCAGGCTCACATACTGTGTATAATAGAAGTGAGCTTATTGGTTTGTAATCACTTGGTTTGGTTTTGGCACCCTTTTCATGCATGGGCAATGCCATTTATGATTATTAAATAATAAGTGTTATTTATGTGAATTGCAAAAAGCGAGAAATCAACTTATGCACTTTTGAGAAGAATGATCTAAAGAGTGCTTTGACACTTTTTGTGCATTTTGTGCATTTGAAATATTTTCATGACTTTCTGCTTTTTTCTCTTTTAAGGCTTAGTTTATATGCGTGATATTCTTATTCAGATGTGTGGATATTTGCAAAAGTGACTCGTTTCTTTGTGCTAGTGGCGAATCAGGAGCAGGGAAGACAGAGAGCACCAAGCTGATGCTTCAGTTCTTGGCAGCCGTCAGCGGCCAGCATTCCTGGATAGAGCAACAGATCCTCGAAGCCAATCCCATTCTGGAAGGTATTGCATTCACCTGACGCTGACAGCACTGAAACATTATTCTGTGTGCCACAGCCTACTGGTTTTATTAAAATGAAATGTTTCCATTTGACATCTACTGATATCTCTCCTCCAGCCTTTGGAAATGCAAAGACAATCCGTAACGACAACTCCAGCCGTTTCGGGAAGTACATTGATATCTACTTTAACAAGAGTGGAGTTATCGAGGGTGCCCGTGTGGACCAGTACCTGCTGGAAAAATCTCGGGTGTGTCGGCAGGTAGGTGAACAGTAAGAGGAACCTCAGGTCAGTGTTCGTTAGACCGCAACAATGCTAACTTACGGCTAAGGTGTCTTCTTCCTTTGCGACTTTTGATTAAAGATCTTGCCAAAGATGTTAGCAAAGGTTTTCATTTACTTTCTGCCCAAATTTAGCAAAAGAAAAATGGGATGTTTTTCAAACAGTTTAAACTTATTTCCAAAAACTTCAATTTGTTTGCACAACATTAAGAAGATTTAAAAACTGAGACTCTCATAAAGGTATGAAAAGTAAGTAGACTAAGTAAGTATAAACAGAGCTTAGGCCTTGATAGGTAAATAATAACCAGTTCTAAAACATCTGAAGATCCATATTGTGTCCTTTTGTTGCATTTGTGGTAGAAAAACATCTTTTTTCATTTTTATTGTCATTTGACCAGGCTCCGGAGGAAAGAAACTATCACATCTTTTATTGCATGCTGATGGGTATGACCGCAGAGCAGAAAAACCTACTTTCTCTAGGAAATGCATCTGAGTACAGCTACCTGACAGTGGTAATTCCAACATCCTTCATACAAGTGATTTAAGATTTATCATTTGAAAAAGCTTGGAACAATTCCTTTTAAAAGAGAAAATTGTCTCATTATGTACTGTACATTTTTACATGCATTTATTTTAAAATATTAAAATCACTTGCGTGTATTTAATCACTAACAGACAATCTGGTAAAATCCTGCTGATACTTTATCTATATATGAAAAACTGGCCCTTTATCACAAAACAATAAAACACCCTTTTTTGCTTCAGGTAATGTTATACATTCCGAAATATCTGGTATCTCCAAACATGATCTATATTAAATTCAAACAGGGAAACTGCACAAGCTGTGAGGGCCGGGATGACATCAAAGAGTATGCCCACATTCGCTCAGCCATGAAGATCCTGACCTTCACAGATAATAACTTCTGGGAAATCACAAAACTGCTTGCTGCTTTGCTGCATCTGGGAAACCTGGATTTTGAAGGTAAAACTTTAGTATCTGCATAACATTCTCTCTCCCCCAATAGGAGATGCAAAAAACACTACTGTACTTAATGTAAAAATGACATTTTATTTCCTGTTCTTTGGGTTTCATTATATATTTTCTCGCCAAATTGGTTTCAAAGTTCATGTTGTTTTTTTTAGCTGCTGTCTATAATAACATGGAGAGCTGTGATGTTCAAGCATCCCTTCATTTTACCACAGCAGCCAAGCTTCTTGAGGTATAGTTTTACATTTTTATCTCCTTGACCAAATTTCTTATTGTGCCTGTTTGATGTGTACATAGTTGTCAACATGGTTATCGCAGTAGTGGACAGCAATTAGCACTGATGTCTTGGGTTTGAATCCAAGCTTGGGTGAATTTCGTATGGAGTTTGCATATTCTAATTCGGTTTCATGCCACCTGCTAAAAATATTTTAAGTTGTGTCTTTGGTTTGTTCGTGAGTATTTGTGGATTGTCTCATCCAGGGCATAGTCCTACCTTATGTCCTATTTTCAGGATGTCCTATTTACCATGTTTTCACAACACTGGGGAAAAAGCATTACCGGACAATAGTAAATGCTCACGCAGTTAAAATCACTAAGGTGAATTAATGAAGAGCATTGTGATGGTTGCTGATTGAATTAAATGGACAACTTTTCATTCAGATCATTCAGTCACAATTAGCAGAGCATCACTGTCATTGGTTTGTGTTGAATGTAGTTATCTTTGTATGAAGACTTGACTGTGTAGAGAAAGAAAGAGGTGACTCCAGTCACATTTACAAAACAGCCCAAACTGATTATATTCACACTGATTTAAAAAAAGTTTATAGAATCAAGTTATTAGATTTCCATTTAGAAAACAGGGGAATATAGTGATTGGTATAATCATTTTGTTAAAGAAAAATACCATGGTTGTTTCTAAGAATAGTACCTCTTTTTCAACAGGTTAATCCAAAAGTGCTGGAAGTCAGCCTGACAAACCGCTCCTTCATGACCAACAGAGAAAGTGTCTCTAAACCCCTCAGCTGTGAACAGGCTGTGGATGGGAGGGATGCTTTTGTCAAGGTATTAGGACATGCTAACTGATTGTAAACCAGATTAAAGTTCACGCATAACAGCATCAGTGCCCAAATTAGACAAAGCTGTGGAAATCTGACTTCTCTAGTTCCATTTTTGAAAAGTTTTGGTTAAAAAAGCCATTCAAAGAACTGAGTTCTTTAACGTTTGAAAAAAGATGTTTTTTTAAAAAAATATTGCTGACAGACAAAAAAATCATCGCTAAAGACAGTGGTCCATCTTTTTAGACTAAAAGTGAAATAAGATATTAAGTAGCAATAACAGTACTGAAATAAAAGCCCTTCTTGGAGTTTGGTGATGTAAATAGCGATAAAATACATTTACTACAAATGTAGTAGAAGTATGGTAAACATGATGATAATTGTAATATACCATGGCAATGGAAGGTAAATGCATCACATACGCATGGTAAAGCAATGGAGAATAATTACTGTTTATTAAAATAATTACTAATTCCATTGTTAATTTTCATAAAGGGGTCTTTCTGGCTTGTTATTGTTGTTCTTTTTAGGCAATCTACAGCAGACTGTTTGTGTGGATTGTGAACAAGATTAACTCTGCCGTTTACACGGCCCCTCCTGCTGACCCCAGTCATGTCCGCCAATCTATTGGCCTCCTGGATATCTTCGGGTTTGAGAACTTCAACAATAACAGGTGCATACTCCTGACTTCGAAAGGATTCGCTTCCGTCATAGACGTGATAGATGAAAGAACATGATGAACTCGATGAAACGTGAACCGGGCAGTTGTCCTCTTATTGCTGGTGTCTTTCTTTCAGCTTTGAGCAGCTATGCATAAACTTTGCCAACGAGCAGCTGCAGCAGTTCTTTGTGAAGCACGTGTTTAAGCTCGAGCAGGATGAGTATGCTCAGGAGAACATTGGCTGGCTGCACATTGACTTTAATGACAACCAGCACACACTGGACGTTCTGGCCAGCAAGTCCCTTAATATCCTTGCACTCATTGAAGAAGAGAGCCACTTCCCAAAGGTAACTCTCCCTGTTACCCCCATGTAGAAATGTTCTTATTGCCATGCATACTGTACCTCTTTAATTTGGTGTTATGATAATGCCAAGGTTTAGCAAGTTACGTATACAATACCTGTATGGATACAGCCTTGTAAATTGCCTTCTTACGTAATCTCTGAAAGATAAGACACATACCCAATGTAGAGGGATGTAATTGCAGTTCACTATATCTTTGATATAGCTGGCGAGATGTCCAAAGTATAGTGAATAAAAAGAGAAATGAAAATATATTTCCCTGCTTGTGAACTGCCATGATTTTCTTCTAATAATTGCTTACACTTATATAGTGTATTTCTGGACACTCCACACAAAGCGCTTTACAGGTAATGGGGACTCCCCTCCACCACCACGGCAGCCATAGTGCACCAGTACGCTCCTCACACATCAGCCATCGCTGGGGAGGAGAACAGAGTGATGCAGCCAATTCATAATGTGTGATTCAGGATGTTAGGAGGCCACGTTTGGTAAAGGCCAATGGGAAATTTGGCCAGGATGCTGGTGTAACACCCCTACACCTTAATGCATTGTGTGTTTTTGCTTTTTCCAGGCTACTGACACCACCATGCTTAACAAGATAAACTCAATACATGGCAAAAGCAACATCTATCTGCCCCCCAAGAGCAAGCATGATATGCAATTTGGGATCCAGCATTTTGCTGGGGCTGTCTACTACAATGCAAAAGGTATTCAATGCAAAAGAGAGAATTAGGGCCTTTATGTCTTAGGTGGAGCCCTGATGTTTGATTAACAGTAAAACTCCAGTAATCAGGAATTCCTATTACTTTTCTAAAGCATTTTATTTTCTATTCATGTCTTAATTTAAGATGGTAATTTAGTTTAATGCATACACACTAAATGCCATACAGATAACACTGACTTTTTGAAAATGGTTGAGCTGGATTTCTTCTTTGCAATTTTTGATCCACATAGAGGACATAAAACTATCTTTCCTTTAACAGTTATATCTACATCAGGGATTGGGGACAGGGGATGGGAAATCATTACCCCCAGAAAAGTCTTGTGAAAGAATAGATTTGCTTACAAAATATTCAAAATTATTTTTTAATCTCTCTACAGATAAGTAGTATTTTTGTGGACTTTTGGTTTTATATTTCCTTGCTTTGTGATTGATTGCAGTAAAATATGAAAGTCGGACAGTGCCCTTGTCTGCTTTTCTTCATGGCATGTGTTCTGTTTTCACCTTCCTCAGGTTTTCTGGAGAAGAACCGAGATGCGCTAAGTTCTGACTCCATCCACCTGGTGAAGACATCCTCCAACAAACTCTTGAAAACTATCTTTGAAGCTGATCTTATTTCCGATACTGTAAAGACTGTCAATCCCAAGATGATAATCAAGCCTAAGAACTCCGTTAAGGTTAGTTGCTTGTAGATACTACAAAACAATGGTGGATTGCTCAAATCTGTTTTTAGAATTTGGTCCATAATTAATATAACTAATGAGGAGGTACTAATTACTAACATTACTGACTAATGAGGAGATAGGGATTATGTCTTGTTACATCATATCTACCTCTTTCAATAGAATAAAACTCTCAGGAGCAATCCACTTTGCTCAATACAATATTTGTCAATGTGGGTTTTGTGTTGAAAGATTAATTAATTTTCTTTGCTGTCTATATTGCCCTTCTTAACTGTTTTCCAAATGATCACCTAGATTTTGGAGGTCTAGTTCCAAACTCAGTTTCCTGGCGGAGCTCCAGGTCTTTCAGTAAAACACCAGCGTCACATAACATTGCCAGGCACATCCCTGCGCAAACCTCTTCTCTGACATATTGGTGCATCATCCACTACCCCTCACCTTGAATATGATGACTCAGAAGAACCAACAGCAGAAGTGAGGTGAAGAGAAAAGTGAACAGCCTCTGGACACAGACTATTTGTGTTTCCTCGTCAGGCCACAGACGCCAGAAAGCAGGTGCCCACACTCAGCGGCCAGTTTCGCCAGTCGCTTGACTCCCTGATGAAGACTCTCACTGCCTGCCAGCCTTTCTTCATCCGGTGTATCAAGCCCAATGACTACAAGAAACCCATGGTAATTACTAACCTTTAAGCCTGTTAAAAAGGTACGAATGTGGCAATGTAGGATGTATGACTGCAAAAAAATAACCCCCCAAAATGACTTGTCTCTTTTGTTTTTGCAATAATCCCAAGAATATGAAGGCACTTTCTTCTGCCTATCCGTCTTACTTTCTTTCATCACCCTTTTCAGCTTTTTGATCGGGATCTATGTATGCGTCAGCTACGATATTCAGGGATGATGGAAACCATTAGAATCCGAAAATCGGGATATCCTATCCGTTACGCATTTGATGAGTTTCTGGAGAGGTACCATGTACTTCTGAAAACGTCTGTCTGTGATCCGAAAAAGGTGAGAAATCCTTTCTGTCTATCTAGAGCATGGGACTTCCTACAGATAACTAGGCTATGGTGATGTGCAACTCTATGCAACTATAATCATTAGTAAATTACCTCCCAGGTGCATTCTGAGCTTGATCTTCCCACCCTCCATCCATTCAATTTCTAACTACTTTATCCAATTCAGTGTTGTGGGGGATCTGGCATCTATTCGGAGCACAGATATAAATATGAACACACTCACACCAGGACCAATTATCCCAGAAGTCTAATAACCTACCCCTATGCAGTGCCAAAGGTAATCACTGTGCCACTGTGCTGCCAATCTTCCCATCATCTGAATTTTAATTCACATCATTCAAGCTTCTTAGCTGAGTACTTACCTTCAATGTTGCTAAGGTTTGTAGAGTAATGTAACATACATGAAACAGGTGCACTGATGCATGTTCTTTGGAATCTTAAAGAGCATGCAGAGTCTCTGACAAGTTTTAATTCTGTCCCTTATATTTATAGATTATTTTTCTCTCTTTCAGAATGATTTCCATATCCTCAGTATTGCTTGCATTGCTGCAGAAAAACAACCTAACACACTTCTCAAAATGTATCAGTACTGTTCTTTTTTGCCAGTTTGTCAGTTCATTATGTACTGCAAAGCAAAATGTATTTTCTTTTGCTCTCCCCTTAACATCAACTCACTTTTAAAGGCTTTGTCTTTCCCCTGACTAGGAAACCCCTGAGACATGCTGTAGCTCCATCTGCGAATCTGTCATCAGCGCAGAAGGGGACTGGAAAATTGGAAAAACTAAGATCTTTCTCAAGGTAATGTAGAGGTGACACATGTCCGCCTTCCAATTCCATTTCCCAAGGACCACGTCAAATACATAAAACCACGGACATAAAACACAGAGCTGTAGGCACTTAACTTGAGGCTATGTGCAACTAAAAAAAATCATACATATATTTAAGTCTCAAAAATGAGCAAATACAAAAATGTGTTTTCAAAAGAAAGGTTTAAGAACTTTTCTATGTCTTCTTTCTGGGTTTAAAACACACTGCACTGGATTATGCCTGAACCATTTGAGTCTGGACTAATGTAATACTTCAAAATAGTTATATGGCTTTTTTTTTGTTGTCTGTTTGTCTGGCCCTCTAGGATTACCATGACACAATGCTGGAGCTGGAACGAGACAGGGCCCTTCATGAAAAAGCTACACTCATTCAGAGAGTCCTTCGAGGCTACAAGTATAGGTATGGAAGATGATCAGACTCTGGAGACAGTTTTTTTTTTGTATGAAGTGTTTACGATTTCTACAGTTTTGTGTCTTGTAATTTCATACAGCACCCTTTTACATCTTTCTGCTTAAAGATATAATTGAATTTTTCCATTATTCAATGATCTCTGTATTGGACTATCATGCCATTTATATTTATGCTCCGAGGCCCAACAATGGGCTAAATTCAGAACAAGAGCAGTGACGTTGTTATTCACTGCCCCACAGGAAACGCTTTGTAAAACAGAAGAAGGCAGCCGTGGTTATTCAGAAAACCTGGCGAGGACACAAGTGCAGGAAGCAGTACAGAGTGGTAAGAAACAGAGTGCAACAACGCAAGAGAGCTGGTATCATGACATCAGGAATCAGGTTTTGTGACAAGACTGTCACAATAGATTCCACATGTTACAGACAGATGCAGTGTTTTTTTTCCCCCCAGTTGTACATTTATTTTTTGGGTGGGCTGAAAGGAGAAATTGTAAATAAAAGTAAAATTCAGATGCTCCTAGAATTAATCATTTGTATTTCATTAACACACTATTTCATGAACAAAATAAGAGCAGGTTGGCTGGTGTGTACAGTGACCCTGGATGTGCCTCTTTGTTCCCCAGGTCCAGCTGGGTTTTGCTCGCCTGCAGGCTCAGTGCCGGAGTAGGCAGCTCTCCCACCGCTACCAGCAGATGCGGGAGGCTGCGGTCCTGCTGCAAGCGCATTGCCGCGGTTACCTGCTGCGGAAGGATTGCCGTCGGAAGAGAGAGGCGGTGGTAGTGCTTCAGGCTCATGCTCGAGGGATGCTGGCCAGGAGGTCCGTCACTAGGATGAAGGAAGAGGTGAGTCCCAATAATTCAATAAGTAGCTTTTCACCAAAACACGTGTCACAAGATGCGACGTTTCTGCCGAGGTCCTGCATATTCCTTCCCCTATCCCTGTTTCCCCCTTTAGTCTGGCGGGAGTGAGTATTCTCCAGAAGTGTGTTGTAGGCCTCCTCAGACTGGACATGGGCCTTTCTGTCCACAGGCACACCTCTCTGCCCAGGAGCGGCTCACCCAGGAAATGGAGAGGCGGCGCCAGCGTGAAGAGGTGCTCAGCAGGAAGTGCGAGGCCAGCTCCAAGTCGGAATCCATCAGCGAACAGGAGATGGTGGACAATATTTTTGGTTTCCTGCCTACAATG